CATGATCTCTTCCGGGGCTGGCCCCTTTTCTTGGGTGAACGCCCCGGCTCTAACAGCTGAATAAAAATATTTTTTTGCGGACGCTTGGTCCCCCCGGATCTCCATGATACCTTCTGGCGTGGCAAATTTTAGTTTCTGGTGGTAAGTGGAGTGCACCGCTCCCAACGTATGCAGTCATGTTCGTCCCTTGATCACGTTGTAGGGAGAGTCCGTATCAATTACGACAAACTCGGTGTTGATGATGAAGGGACCCGTGACAACTGGCAATGTGATTTTGCCTACGGGCAGGGCGAACGAGCCGTTGAATCCGATGAGGGGTGTCCTGACCTTGGTGAGGTCCTTGAGGCCAAGACCCATCCGTTTTAAAGTCTCGGAGTACATCACTTCCGAGGAACTTTCAGAGTATCAATACCCTTTTTACGTCGAATTTACCTATCTTCAGGGTTATGACAAGGGTGTCGTTATGAGGAGTCACTACGCTTGTCAAGTCTGCGTCGGAGAACGTGATGTTGGGCTCACCAGTCCTGGCCCTTTTACTGGGTGGCCCCCATCATCCTCGACTACCTTCCTTGTAAAAGCTACCCTCTTGAGGTCGGACTCGAGTTCCTTGGACGTGGGGCGATCCAGGGGACATACATGGATGACATCTATGACGTTGTCCGGCTCCTCGATCGGGGCAAGGGTGTGTCTCTCTTCTGGCCTGGGCTCTATGTATTCTTTCAAGTATCCGTCTCGGACCAATCTTTCCAAGAACGATTTGTACACCCTGCAGCTTTCGGTGCGATGTTCGAAATTCCGGTGATAGGAACACCTAACCTTTTGATCACGGGTGGAGGGATCGCTCTGCATCCTGGGCAGCCACTTGAAGAACGGCTCATGCTTGATTTTATGGAGTAACTTGAAGATGGGTTCCTTGAACATAGTGTGAACACCTTTGGACGACCCCCCTGGAGGGGGTAGCAATCCCTTTCGGGGAGTATCCTCCCGCTCCCTCTCTTTTCTCTTAGATTGGAGGGTTCGGCCTTTGCTGCTTCCCATCTCGTCCTCGATCCTTGAGTATTTGTTTATCCGGGTCATCAGCTCGTCCATATCCGAGGGAGTCTTCTTAGTCAGGGATCGGTACAGGTCCGTGTCCCTCGCCAAGCCGAGCCTGAAAGACGCCGCTGCCATGACTTTCGAGCAGTTTTCTACCTCATTAACCTCTTCCCAGTATCGGATGGCATACTGGCGAAGGGTCTCGGATTCCCTACGTCTGAGCGTTAGCAATGATCCAACGTCTTTGGGCCGCTTACTCCCCGTAATGAATCGAGCCAGGAACTGCCTCGTCAATTCGTTCCACGATCCAATACTGTTGCGGGGAAGCGCCTCGAACCACTTCATCGCAGAGTCCCCCAAGCTTATAGGAAACACTCGGCAGAGGAACCGTTGGTCCGAATGATAGAGGGACATCATCTGCTTGTATTGCCTGAGATGGGCTTCGGGATCGGACCGCCCGTCATAAGTTTTGAACCTCGGCACGACAAACTTTCTTGAAACCTCCATCTCTCCGATCTCCCTGGTAAAGGGTGTTTGTATGACCTCGTCTTCGACCTCATCTTGGACAGCCTTACTCTTTCTCCTTGATTCCAACCGGGCTCTGAGATCAATTTCCTCCCTGACGGGATGTCTTCTGAAGTCTTTGAGTTCATCAATAGGCCCCCCATTTTCCTGGGCGCCGTGTGGATAGGGTAGAATCCTCCTCGGACTCATCTCCCTTCCTCCGTCTAGACAATCCTCGCCGGAGGTCATCCAGGGCTAATGGCTTTGCCTTCCTTGAATAGTCGTTAGGAGGATGCTCGTTGGCTCTCGGTCGCTTTGGGGCCTTGGAGCTTTCTGTCTTGTTGTTTAAATGATTCCTTAGATCCTTCGTTTTCACCTCCCGGGCGGGGAACCCACGAGAAAGGAATGAGTCCCTCGACCCTTCGCCGGAGGCGGCAAATTCGTTGAGCCAGCTTAGGACGTTTATATTGTCCTTTTTCAGCTGTCGTAATCTATCGCCAAACTTTTCTTCGATCACCTCTGCCAGCTGACGAGCCAAGGGGGCTGATCCTCTTGACCTGATTCCCATACTGGTTTGAGGGGTAACCCCTCTTGACTGAGTAGAGGCATTTTTATTCCCATCAGTGTGATCCCTCCCTTCATGGTGACAGGGAGCTTGTAATTCGGGACTTCTTTGGTGGGGACCTTTCCCTTTTTGTCGAGTGTTCACCATGGTCACTGTTCTTTATAGAAAAAAAACTAGGAAAACTAGTCCTTTCTCACAGACGGCGCCAGATTGTGCGTGCTAGATCTTGCACAATATAAAAACGAGAACAGATCTCTCCCTTGGTGAACTCGAGTGAGTCAGTTGAGTGGTCAACCACGCTGCTTGGAACAGCCTGTGAGATCCGGTGGTAACCTAGAACGGTAATGGAAGATCCTCGCGGATCAAAGGAACGATCCAATAAGGCTGAAGAAAGGTTCCTGGAACAAAGAAAAACAAGTTAGAAGGGCGCCGGAGTGTTTTTCGGCGTATCCCCTCCGACGATCAAGTCAGTTTTTGAGAGAGAGGAAGAAGAAAACACTGAGTATAATTTGTAGCAAAAGTTTCACCTTTTTTCCTTGCCTTTAGTGAGGAGTATTTATACCTCAAATACTCATGATTGCTGTCAGTGTGGTCAGTAGGTGATCATTAGATACAAGCAACGTGCGCACTGATTCCTATGAAGAATGTCTTCTCTTTTAACTGCTCGGGACCCCGAGCAATCAAGACTGTGTCATCGGCCTGTCGACGGTTCAATGAGCTCCTCTCGGGGAGGATCCAATAAATGCCCAGCCTTAGAGACATTTATTGTCTTTCACTTCCGAGCCTTACCGCATTGAATGCAGTCTCATCAAGGGAATGGTGTAATTAAATGCTTGTTTTCCCAAGTCGCGTGTCAGCAAGGTCATGCGGTCTTTCTGTCTCTGATGTGACACAATATGTCACGCGTCCATTTCCCATTGGCTGTGGCCCCTGCCTTCCTGTGCCTTCTGACACCAATTGTGTAAGACGAGGTCATGATAGCTAACCTAGCCTAGCCTAGGCTAGTGACCAGTGCATCAATAGCCTCTGCTGGAGCAGAGGACTTCATCCTGGATGAGGGGGGTACATCTCGGTACCGAGGAAGAGGTACATCTCAGGGCCGAGGAAGAGGTACATCTCGGAGCCGAGGAATAGGTACATCTCAGAGCCGAGGAATAGATACATCTTGAATCCGAGAGGGGGAGGCCTAGCGACCGATGTACCATATCAGACCGAGGGTACGTGTCGGTACATAAAAACGTACTGGATGCCACTCGATTCCCATGATTAGTACCTCGGGGGGAGAGGGACTTGTAACCTGATGGGTACGTGATCTCGGTAAAAATGATTAATGACACCGAGAACACGTGTCTTCATCTCGGAGTATTTCGAAAATGTCCTATCAGTATCTACTCATGAAGTGCTTAAAAATACGACAAAGATATTTTAATTTTGACTAATTTTTTTAAAATAATTATTAATTTATTATTATATTAATTTTTTTTTAAACAAAGTGATAAACGAGTTGACAGGTCTCACCTGAACACGACCCATTTATTAAACGTGTCTGACAGGTTAACTTGTTTATCACCCGAACTTGTTAAGATATCACCCAAACCCACTTAATTCCTATCAATCGTATCTTATCGAATTTTGACAAACCTAGTTCTGAGTACGGAAGAGTAAGTTTAGTTCCACTGAATAGTGGAGACTTAAACCTAAATATTGAGCGAATTTGATTTATTACCCACTTAATCAACCGCATTATATTGATGGTCGCGCATTATATTGATATAATTGTTAGTTGTAGTATTTCAAATATAATAAAATCACTTATTAAAATTTCTGATTTATATTGTGTAACTTAGAATAAAATAGTAACAACCAAGTTCAAAACAGTAATACAAAAAAACTGAAATAGTTATATAAGAATTAACGAAACAGGTACAGTAATTTTAACGAAACAGTTACATGTAATTGTTTGTTTAACCAATATAAATACTAACCCATTTGTAAAACAAAAACTGCTATTGAACTTCAAGTAGATCAAGATTAGTGTTTGACATTATATCCTTAAGACAGATTTTGCCTCCACGCAAATTGTTTATGAAATCAAAGTATCTGTCTCACAGAATATAATGATCTTTATATGAGTAAAATTAGCACTCCAATCTACTCTTCCAACGAACCAGAAATTATGTTATGTACTCTTCAAATGTCTTAATGTTGAAATGTAATGTACTAATGTCGGCCTTAATTCTGAAAATGGATTAATGAAATTGATGCATAATGGTAACGAGAGTCTTGATATTTATAAACAATCTGATAACTATTTCGAACAGCCACCATACGAAAAGAGACAACCCAAAAGACATAACTCAAATTTCAAACCGAAAGGAAGTTACAATCTAAACCGGTACAAATTCAATTGTAACTGGTAGCGAAGTTAAATTTCGATTTAGAAATTCTCCTCCGATTTGTTATACGAATTGTTTCCAAAAAGATAGGGTTTGATTTAAACCACACTCACACCTGTGCTTGGCCTAGTCGGGGTGAGGCAGGCGGCGGTGCGCATTATTGAACAGAAGACATGTAGGTGTTCGCTTCGCTCATAAAATTGTGGTACCCCTTAAGGCCAAATCCCATAAAGTAAATTACGTTATTCTCTTCACGGAGTAAAACACGAACCCACGAAAGTTTACTCGAAACAATAAGCAGGTCTCACTTTAATTTAGTTTTAAAGTCGATCAAAAATTTAATTTTTAAGCTTAAAAACTATTTTGGTCTAACAATAATCAGAGATAATGGATCTTTACCAATACATTATCCAATTATGTCCGGGTGATTGGATTGAAGGAATGGATGTGATGCCAATCGGATTGCCACTTCTACATGGCACCCTTCACTTTTCAGCAGTCAAGAAAGACTCATAAATGTATCACACCAACAATCACCAATTTTCAACCAACTTTTGGTTTATCTTATTTATATCCTCCACCATCAGTGCCATCCTTTTAAAGCACCTTCATCCACTGAGATTTTTGGGATATACAAGTCAACTCCGACCTTGAATTATTTGCTCCATTGGAGTCTCATGTACCCATCAGACATTGATTTTGCTTTCTGGTTTGAGTGCACTCTCATCCATGGAACTGAAATTGTCAAATGTGGGGAACAGATAGGTTGGGCTTTTTGAACGGTTCATGGAAGTTTCAACAGCTTCTGGAAGTTTTAATGCTCTATTTTGACCCCCTTTTGAGTGAGAATTGATTGTCACAATGCTAAATTGTCTGTACATATAGAGGGTCTCTTTCTGGAGGTAGAAGAGGAAAGGTTGTTTCTGGGTTTGTTGTAGCTTCTTGTAGTCCTCTCTCTCGATTTGGAGATGGGTGGTGTTCTTATCTTCCTCTTCCTGTGTTCTCTATTGCTGTTGTTTATTTACCCTTCTTCTTCACTCCCTTTGTGTACTGACAAGAGTGAGTCTCTCTCTCTCTCTCTCTCTCTCTCTCTCTCTCTCTCATGATGGGTTCATCTGTTATTTTTATTTTGCTGAATTGTGTTTCTTTGGTTGAATTGTAATAGGGGCACCTCTAATCCCAAAGACCCCTCTGGGCTTCTGTCCATACAATGGGAGGGTATGCTGTAATTCAAACAAGGATTTGCAGTTGCAGAAGCAATATGAAGCAATGAACATATCAGATCTTGCCTGTGCTTCTGCTGTGAAATCAATCCTATGTGCAGTAAGTTCTGGTCCACATTTTTAATGCATTGATTCATTGGCATGTGTAATAAAAGTGTTTCTCTGTAGTGCTGTCCATTGATTTCTTTGTGGTCTTTTATAAATTGAAAATTCCATAAATTACTATATAGTCTATATTTCAATGCCAATTCTAGTGGAAATGCACTGAATGTTCAGGCTTAATCTCTCTAATGCCTACTTTCTGTGTTGGTAACAAGATGAAATTTTCACATCCCAAGTGGTTCTTGAGCTTTTGGATAAGGTATTCAGTTGTTGCACGAAGTATATTTGAATATTATCCTAGGTACTGCGGGTTAATATGCTTGCTTTTCTTTAGAAGGCACACATCCATGCTCGTTTATCAGGCTATCGGTTGATAGATTGGATTTTTATTTTCTACCATTCTTGCTTGTATGTGTACCTTTGGAAAAACAAGGATGAAATAATCTAGTTTTGTTCTTGTGGCTGTACAAGGACATGAAGTCATACAACTACTGTGAATCAGTTTAAGCAAAAGTGATATTAAAGTTGTTTTGGCCTTCCTGGATCGAGCATTGGCGTTCATATAGCAGTAATGATCTGATATCCTTGTCATCTTTAACAGAGGCTGGTGTATAATGTTGCCCTTTTAGAGCCAACCATCATTGAAACTAGACCAATAAACTCTTTTTTCACTTATTGAATATTTTCCACTTGGATTGATTGTATTATAGTTTTTTTGTAATTGGAACTTTGGCAGATGATCAAATACTTTGCTCAAGTTAATATTGGGATTTTGATCATTTGCAGACATGTGACCAGTTTTCGGCAGAGTTATTTAGGATCGAATCAGGGCCTCGATCAGTTCCTGTTCTTTGCAATTCTACCATTTCACCAAACTCATCCTTGGCGTCAAAAGAAACAACAAATAGCTTTTGTTCATCTGTATGGGATGTCTGCCAAAACATATCAATATTGAATTCTCCCTTTGCCCCTTCATTACAAGGTAGGGCTGGAATGCCACAAAATTCCACCTCATCCAAGCTAACTGAACTCTGGCAATCGACAAGCGATTTTTGTGATGCATTTGGTGGTGTGACTGATGAAGATACCTTGTGTTTTAGTGGCAAACCGATTGTGCGTAACAACACTGAAACTCCATCTCCCCCAAAGGGCCTATGCCTCGAGAAGATTGGCAATGGAGCTTACCTCAATATGGTTGTTCATCCTGATGGATCTAACCGTGCCTTCTTCTCTAACCAAGCAGGGAAAATTTGGTTGGCCACTGTTCCTGAACAGGACTCAGGAGAAACATTGGGACTTGATGAATCTAGTCCATTTGTGGATTTAACTGATGAAGTTTATCTGGATACAATCTTTGGGATGATGGGAATGGCTTTTCATCCAAACTTTGCCCGTAATGGCCGTTTCTTTGCTTCGTTTAACTGTGATAAATCAAAGTCTCCAGGATGTTCTGGAAGGTGTGCTTGTAACTCAGATGTTGGTTGTGACCCTTCGAAGTTAGGTACCTCAAATACAGCTCAGCCATGCCAATATCATGCTGTAGTTGCAGAGTTCACTGCTAATGGATCGGCATCAGAGCCTTCAATGGTAAACATCATATACATACTTTTACATTAGGTCAGTTAATGATTTCCCCTGGGTTTTTGCTGACTTGAATTTCTGATATATTTCTAGGCAAAAATGGCCAAACCATCAGAAGTGAGAAGGATATTTACATTGGGCCTTCCATTTACAGCTAATCATGGTGGCCAGATTCTTTTTGGTCCTTCAGATGGATATCTTTACTTCATGATGGGAGATGGTGGAAGCAAAGGGGACCCTTACAACTTTGCCCAAAATAAGAAGTCCGTGCTTGGAAAAATTATGCGGCTTGATGTAGATAACATACCAAGTGAGTATTAATATCACTGAACAGTCTTGATGTAGGATCATGTTTCTTTGATTTTTCTTTAGTACAACTTTCTCTGCATATTGCTTAATGGCTTATCTATAATTATAATTCTCAATGCATGATGTTTTATATGCCCGGGGTGTTTCCCTCTTTCTTTTATTGCTTCAGCTGTCCAATGCATTTACATGAGGGGTCATTGCTCAGTTCAACAGATGAGTACTCGGGCAATCTAGCATGAGAATACAATTCTATCTGTGAGATCAATCACTTTGTCCAAAATCTCTTCATAGGTTGGGCTTGTGTAGTCTACCACTCCCTACACCTTACGTGAAGGATTACTGACTTTTCATGCAAATGTAAATATTAAAAGATGTGAACCTATCAACTCTAAGGTTGGTGAAGTATATCAGTAATTTTCCAATCTATGACATGCCTTCATAACCACTTTTGCATTTAGAGATTCTTACTTTGTCCCCTTTTATTTGCACTACAAGGCCTTGCTAACACAGACGGCTTTGACTCAAGGTTGATAAGAGTGTGTGAACTGATTTAACTAGTTAGTTTTTTGATTTGCCAGAATTATGTTATCAGATAAACAGTACTTTGTTCTTCCTCTTGTATTTGGTGAAACATGTGGAAAGCAAAAGTTACATAGTCTGCCTAGCTCATTTTTTCAATTTTTGACGATACCTTTTGCACCACTGCTATATATTTTTAGGTGCAGCAGAAATAGTAAACCTCGGTCTTTGGGGAAATTATTCTATCCCACAAGATAATCCTTCTTCTGAGGATAAAGAATTGCAGCCAGAAATTTGGGCCCTAGGATTTAGAAATCCTTGGCGTTGTAGTTTTGACTCAGAGAGGCCTTCCTACTTCCTCTGTGCAGATATTGGACAGGTGCAGATATATTCTCACTCTTTTGCTGTATTCATAAGCTTTTTATTATTTTCTTTCCTTTCTGGTCCTGTAAACTTTGAAACTATGGTTGCCAGTGGATTTCTTTGATCAGTTAAGTAGCAATTTTGAAGCATTTTCTCCATTCTGTCTTCTTGTACGAAACATTTTTTCATGATGATACATTTTTTAGGCTTACAAGTTACAACCATTTTAATCTGTAGGATCAATATGAAGAGGTGGATCTCATCACTAAGGGTGGGAACTATGGATGGAGTGTTTATGAAGGCCCTATTGTTTTCAAGCCTGAGCAAGCTCCAGGAGGAAATACTTCTACTGACGCTATAGATCCAATCTTCCCTGTGTTGGGATATAAGCATTCTGATATAAATAGAAAGGAAGGTTCAGCTGCAATATCAGGCGGGTACATTTATCGATCCATGACTGATCCATGCATGCATGGCAGGTGAGAAACAAACAAACCTTACTTGATTTCTGTATACAAGCTTTGAACAAATTAACCAACATCAACCATCTTAATGTGGATCGATATTCAGCTACTTGTATGGAGATTTGTATGCCAAGGCTATGTGGGCAGCTGCAGAAAGCCCTAAAGATAGTGGGAATTTTACGACTACTAAGATTCCTTTCGGTTGTGCTCATGACTCTCCCACCAATTGCAGCACCGTGCCCAACAGTCCTCTAGCTGCTTTGGGTTATATATTCTCATTTGCAGAGGATAACATGAAAGATGTTTTCATTCTAACAAGCAGTGGCGTGTACAGAGTGGTTCGTCCAAGTCGCTGCAACTACACTTGCTCAAAGGAAAATTTGACAGCCCTTGCAAGTCCAGGTCCTTCTCCTTCTTCGTTTGGCCACCATCTTGATGCACCACAGATAGAATTGTTGCTTTTTCTCTCTGCATTGTTGCTTTTTGTTGGCTTTTTATTGTAACCATTTGTAAGAGTTGAATGACTTTGCCATTAGAATCAAAGATGAGTATTACTGCGGTGAATTTGATTTTTTGACTCTTTTTCAAATTCAATAAACGTTGGTTGATTGTACAGAGCATCCTCACACCTATACATTAAGCACTTAAAACTAAACACTGTGTATGACAAGCTTTTAGGATAAAACAGAGCAAAATGAATTCATTTTTAATTATCCAAGAACTTGTATTTGGTAACAAAGCCAGCTTTTGAAATGCAATAAATTGTCAGAAGAGGCAAACCCTTCATTTGATAAAGAGGGGAAAAAAAATGAAAACCCATTAACTTAGGCAAAGAACATTTTTTCTGGGAATAGTTTACCATGTGGGTTTTCATGGGAATATTTCATGAAAACCCACTAACTTAAGCAAATTGTGTCCTTCCGAATGGGGGAATATTTCACCATGTGGGTATTTGATCATGACATCGAAAACGCATGATTCATATCATATCTCATTTTTTAGTCCAATCAACAATATGAAACATTACCAATGGATATTTGGTTTAATGATATCTATTGTCTTACAAATTTTTTTTTTTTTTTTTTTTTTGAGGTCAAGGATTCAAGTTCATTGGACAACAAAAAACATGGTTAGTTGGTAGAACGAATCTCAATTGCTTGAATGAACTGGATCCAAGTCTTTGGTGTCAGCTCAAATCTTCATTGAAATGCAAGTCTTAATTTAACTGGTGTGTGTTCATGCACCCAGAATTTGTCTTCGGTTCTATTTGAACTCACAAACCTGAACGATATAAACGCGTTTCTATTCGCCAAAGACAGACCAAGATTTTTTCCATTACCCAAAAAAAAAAAACGAAATATGAAAAAAAAATATCATTTTATTGATTTTGTATTCAATAATTATAAATAAATCAATTTAACATGAACAATATGGCTTGATATGGTACCAAAAATTAAAATTTGTGGATCATAGCTTGAGTTAAAAGGCTCAACTTCCAGACAATCTGCTCGTCTTGCATTGTTGTTCGCATAGTTCATGTAAACCGAATCTTGAAATATACTCTGATCTTGGCAGTTTGTGCATGTTTTTTTTAACTGTTTTCTGCTTTTTGCATGAAAAGCAATAGAAAAACAATATTATAGAAATATGTTTTGACCCTTTAACTATGACCTCGATTGCCCTTTGTATCATAGGTATAGAGTTCCTCACATTGTACACACCATTACATAAATTAGTTTTCCATTGTCCGCCTAAACTAATCATCCAACATTTTTTGGACAAAAATTTTTCACCAAATGGGTAATAAAACATACGTTTCTAATGTCTCTAAGTGTAGATTTTTATCTATATCTATACTAAGAATAACTCGTGTGTGAAGGTACGATGCAACATAAATCAATGTGAATGATTGTGAAAGGAATGTTGGTGGCTGTTCGATGAACCTATTTAAAAAAATCGGATAAACTTATTGAAACCTGTCATATTTTATATTATAGAGATAACAAATAATTTAGAGGTGAGGGGCTTAAAAAGTCTTTCCTCCTCACTTTCTAATTTCTTAGAATTTAAAATCTTTTAATTCAAAATCTAAAGCTCCCTCCAATGTGTGTCATTTGTAATTATTCCTCAACTTTTCAATGACTAACTATTATTTTTTAAAATTCATTAAAAAAAATCACTTTTTATCACCTAAAAACTTTTTATAATTGATTATCTAACTTATCAAGTGATAAAAAAAAAAAGAGAGATAAATAAAAAACACCAATTATAATCCCATGCATCACAAATCAATAAAGCATCATTAGAGGTGCAATGTGGTAACGAAATCAATTATAAATAATTATAATTTATAGGTCATAGGAGATAGGGTACACAGTTGAAGGGCTAAATTGTAATTCTCCCAATAGTACATATTCTATTGTTTTATGAGTGCATGCATGTTAAGAGAGAGAGAGAGAGAGATGCCCTCCTCCAAAACCAAGAACATTGAGCAGAACCCATTAGAATTCATACAAGAACACAACAAGAAAGGGCGGTGAGAACTATGTAGCACAATTGAGCACAACCTCAATACACCCTCTAAAACCAAGAAATAGACAACCATTGCGATTATAGAGGCTGTCAATCCCTTTTGGACATCTCGGCGCCAACCATAGTTCTTGAAGACCCCTACTCTTGTCCCTTACCACCAACCCTTTATTCTTTTCCATTTTGCATTTGCCTCTACGAACTATATATACTCCAAATCCTAGGGAAATGAAATTCCAAGAGTTTCATGAACACTTGAGCAATTCCCCTCTCTCTCTCTCTCTCTCTCTCTCCTCTAAGGAAGCCATTTGGGTTATCTTTTAAAACCCACCATGGCCATAACAACCTTCCCAACCGTCGAGAAGTGCGCATCGATCGGCCGCGAAAAGGACACGGTGGTGGCGGACCTGGACGGAACATTGTTAAGAGGCCGTAGCTCATTCCCATACTTTGCCTTAGTTGCATTTGAAACTGGTGGTGTTTTAAGGCTCCTATTTGTGCTCTTAGCTTCACCACTTGCTGGAATTCTCTACTACTTCATCTCCGAATCCGCCGGAATCCAAGTTCTTATCTTTGCAACATACGTTGGCATGAGACTCTCCGATATCGAATCGGTGGCACGTGCAGTTTTGCCGAAATTCTACTCTAGTGATCTACACCCGGAGTCGTGGCGCGTGTTCTCGTCTTGTGGTAAGCGTTGCGTACTCACAGCTAATCCAAGGATTATGGTGGAATCGTTCTTGAAAGATTCCTTGGGTGCAGATATGGTATTGGGGACTGAGATAGGTACGTATAAGGGTAGGGCTACAGGGATTGTGTGTAAGCCAGGAGTGCTTGTAGGGAAGAAAAAGGCTGATGCTCTTCGGAGTGCTTTTGGAGAGACTCAGCCGGAGATTGGGCTTGGTGATCGGCATACTGATGTTCCATTCATGGCATTGTGCAAGGTTTGCAAAAATAACCTAGTTCTATATTAAACATGAATCATCAAATCCATTTTCTTTTGTTTTTTAGACCTTTCTTGAAAGTTGACTAGAAACGAAGGGCACTAGATATTCATGTGGTACATGATATCACGAATTATTTTGGACTAAGGCCAGCAATATAGAAATCTAAAACTTACATTTAAAATTATCCTTATCAATCGAATCATGTTAAGTCGTTTTCAAGTTGGTATGCCATTTTGAAATCCCAAATTTAAGAACAAACATTGTTTACAATAATATATGTGCAATATTATACAAACTTAAAAAAATCGATTTAATAATTTGACTTGCTGACGTAACTGTTATATTGATCATTGATTTAACTTATTTGAAAGTTGGCTATTCATGATCAGGTCACCGGATATTCAAATGCTACATGAAATCATGAATCATTGGGATAATACTGAAACTATACTACCCTAAAACTCGTCCCCAAAATTAAGGCATTAATCAAGGCATATTGAATCATTTTTTAGATAGGTATCACATTCAAGTTATTTCATTTTGAGTTATAATTTTTCTCCCTATGCCAAGTTCATGACTAATGATTTTGTTCATCTGAACCATGAGTTATCTAAATAACAATAATCGATAATTTACTGATATAATTTGTTAATCAAATAAATCACAATCTTTGAATTGACATTGTAGTTTAATATTATTTGGAATTCGCTAATAAATTAATGTTTGTGATACATTAAGTTAATAATTAACATTAATAAATTAATTTCAAGTAGTATTTTCAGAATTATTGTGATACTAATCAACCAAGTTTTATATGCAGAAGGGTTACATTGTGCCACCAAAGCCAGAGGTCAAGGCTGTGACAAATGACAAACTACCCAAACCAGTCATCTTCCACGACGGCCGGCTAGTCCACAAGCCAACCCCTCTTCTTGCTCTCCTCACCATTCTTTGGATCCCCATCGGTTTCCTCCTCGCCTGCCTGCGAATCGCTGCCGGCTCTCTCCTCCCCATGCCTCTAGTGTACTACGCTTTCTGGGCCCTCGGCGTCCGTGTCACCGTCAAGGGCAACCCACCACCGCCGGTGAAAAAATCCACCGGCCAATCCGGCGTCCTCTTCATTTGCTCTCACAGAACCCTCCTCGACCCCATCTTCCTCTCCACTGCCCTCGGCCGCCCCATCCCCGCCGTCACTTACTCCGTCTCCCGCCTCTCCGAGATCATCTCACCCATAAAAACCGTCCGACTCAGCCGAGACCGCGCCACCGACGCAGCCATGATCAAAAAACTTCTACAATCCGGCGACCTAGCTATCTGCCCCGAGGGAACAACTTGCCGTGAACCCTTTCTTCTCCGATTCTCTGCGCTTTTCGCTGAATTAACCGATCAGCTCGTTCCGGTAGCTATGGTGAACAAAATGAGCATGTTTCATGGAACAACTGCAAGAGGGTGGAAAGGGATGGACCCATTTTACTTCTTCATGAACCCTAGTCCAGCGTATGAAGTTACATTCTTGAACAAGTTGCCTATGGAATTAACATGTAGTTCAGGGAAGTCTAGCCATGAAGTAGCGAATTATATACAGAGGGTTATTGCTGCGACTCTTTCATATGAGTGCACTACTTTTACAAGGAAAGATAAGTACCGTGCACTCGCCGGAAATGATGGGACGGTGGTGGAGAAACCTCTGCTCAAGCCCAATAAAGTTATGGGGTGTTAATGGTTTCGTCAATGGATACCCTTAGAATGAAGAAATTGTTTATGGAAGATTTGAAAATACATCTCCTCCTCGTGGTTACTGTGGGTTTAGAAGGGAGAAAAGTAGGGTTTTTTTTTTTTTTAACCTTTCAGCTTTAGTCTATGTTTACAAGAAAGAATAAGAGGATAAGGGTATACAAATTCCATGACCACAAATATATTTGTATCAGCAAAATTAATAAACTGAGCTTTGTGTTTACCCATGCTATTGTGCCAAGGATGCATAATAATTTGACTGAGTGGGTACATCTAAATATTCTAATAATTGGTATTAAAGTATTAATTCATTTTTTTAAGTGATAACATTAACGAACTGTAAATTCAGACATTTAAAATATAAATTTTGACAATCTCTTAATACTATGTTACATAAATACTCTAGAATCGGTGTGAATGACTTGTCTTTAATCAAATTTGAGAGAAAATTAGTCAAGATATACATATATAAACCCAGACAATCTTGACCGTTAAACCAAAAAAATAATAATTAATAAGACATTGTTATGTCTCAAGAGCAATCTAAGTTTGATTATTGATTAAAACTTTAGGACAAATAATTTGTTTTGATTTTTAATGCATGTGAGGGAGGAAGTGATGGGTAATAAGATTGCTATTCGATTAATTGTGGGTAATGATATCAAATAAGAATCACGTTATAATAGACTCTCACATTATATACAAATAACATTATTGTAAATGTTTAAATTGAAAGCCATTAGGAATTGAGATCCAATGTTTTTTTTATATGGAGAGAGAGAGAGAGAGAGGAATCCATGCCAAATTTTATAAGGCGAATTGAAATATATATTTCAAAAAATTTAAGAATTTTTATTTTATATCTTAAAAAATTATGATGAATGTATTAAAAGTATTGTAATGCGACTCTTCAATTACAATACTTTTACCTTTCTTATCCATATTCACCTTCAGTTACCTTTCTTTGCCCATTTATTAATCTTTATAAAATTTATGGGTAAAATGGTAAAACGTGTATTTCCGTCATATCTATTAGTCGATCAACACTGACAAAGAAGGTCAGTAAAATTTTAGAAAAGAAATGAGGTGTCGTTGAAGATAGACCTATTTAGAGATTGTGTGGGTGAAATTTACCCTAACAAATTTGATCTTGCAAAATACAAAGAGAGAATTATTAAATTCTTCAGGTATAAAATAGGATTCCCCCAATTGATTTCATAACTTAAAAACTCAGTTGAGACTTGAAAGCTCCATAACTGGTTCAGCTTTTTGGGCGAAGGAGGGCCACAGAAAAGATCCACAATATAAACCCCGAGCTAATGGATTGGCCCATAGCCTGTCGCAGGATATGGTAGATCCGACCCAGACCTATTGACCAGCCGCACTTCGAGTCGGTCCATGGGTCATTGACAAGTGACGGGCCAACTGTTTAGTGTTTACCTGTATATGGTTAGATATTTATTACTTCTGCACCACATTGATATAAAAAACGTTGTTTAATAAGTTTGCATAGTATTATGTAGTTGGTCAGGCCAATGATACTTATTTGGTCTTTTCGGATGGTCAGCCACACTCGAATTGAAACACGACCTGAACTCCCACGGAAGAGGCGGTGGAAAATCTTGGACAATATATATTATTTTTAAGAAATCCAAAACAAAATCATGAATGTGAAATGACATGAAGAATTGCAGTAATTAGAAAGGTAATTTGTGAAATTTGGTAACAAACGTGGAGCCTACTAAATGTTTTGACTAGACAATAATAGGAGGGGAGTAGATGTCTCTTATTATTGCCCCATAATTATACTCCTCCTTGACCACCTCATTCAAAACTGCAAGACATAGAGAAGAAAGGTTGGTGGCTGCAGAAAATTTTGAGGTCGACAAAACTTCAGGTACATTGAGTTTCACAATGTGTATAAATTTCTATGTTTTTCTTGGATTGTGTTACTATTATTTTAGTATATTATTTTTTTTTTTCTTGGATTGGATTGTGTACAAGAGGTTTGAAGGGTGTTTGGCAAGCCACCATTGTTTGCATGGTTGTTTTTAACCATGTGCTCATTAAACGAGTCATTACAATTAAAATTTTAAATGTACATAATCGTCACTAAACTACATGCACAGGTTTAACTCGAGTTTTATACATCTAGAAGACTCTCAGAATGTACAAGTTTATGTCTTGTCCCTAATTCTATCAGTGAACCAATTCTAAATTTTCAAACTTCCTGTTGAAGGGGAAGCACAACTCGAGTTTTTATTTTCTTTTCTTTTTTGGGTTAATCCCGGTTTCTATCTTTCAATTATAGGACAAAAGACATAGTAATGCAGACATATTTATGATTTTTAGCACTACTAAAACTGTAAAGGAGAAACAAGAGAGAAAAGGAAAGGCATTACTGAGTTCATTGGCCAACATCAATTCAAACTGCGAAGGAAGAAGAAACAAGAGCAAAAAAAAAAAGAGGAAAGGCATTACTTTTCTTTTATCCTGTTCAACGGTCAGAAATATCTAGGTTAACTTATGCGCACCTTGATTAATCATCTCTCCAATCCGGTCAAAGACAGATTATCAACGTCGGGATTAGGGTACTCAAGAGGGATAAATCTCTCATAGACTAATCCCAAGAAATTGTCAAAATTTGAACTTAAAACGTTTGAGTTTACAGTTCGTCCATATTACCACTTAAAATATCTTGTAGTTACGATATTACTTTTTTCCCTCTAAACCGTATACAAAAAAAAGAAAAGGCATTACTGAGTTCATTGAGCAACATCAATCTTTGTTCTCATTTGTTCTGTGTCCTTAACTGATTGATTAAATGTCCACCAAATAATTGACCTCATTTCAATGGATTCTTGTTATTTTTTTCAACAGTTCAGGTGAACAGTCAAACCAAATGAGGTCTCAGCTTCTATGGGTTCTTTTCATGTTCATTGTCATAACTGTGGGAGACTGTAAGGTAGACAATGGTGAAGCATGCCACCCAAATGACCTTCAAGGCCTAACCAGTTTCAAGGCCGGAATTCGCTCCGACCCTTCCAACCGCCTGAAGAACTGGACTGGCATCAATTGCTGCAATTGGGAAGGCATTTCCTGCGATAACGCGACCAGGAGAGTGGCAGAGCTCTATCTCCCCGGCTTCTATACGTGGAACGATGCTTCTTTCCAGACTAGTATAGATGGCTTGCTATCTCCTTCCATAACACTTTTGACATCTCTTGAAGTTCTCGACCTTGGAGGACTCTCAATCTCACCGGACAGATTCCTTCATCTATCGGTTCAAGCCTCCCAGAGCTCAGAAAGCTCTCTCTGTTTGGCAACCAACTCAATGGTCCATTACCAGAAAGCTTGGGTAATTTGTCAAAACTTGAAGAAATCTATCTGAATGAAAACAACTTATCTGGGTCTCTCCCTTCGAGCCTTGGAAGTCTGAAAAAGCTTAGAAGACTATATCTAAATTCGAACTGATTTTCAGGCGCCATAACTGAGTCTATCACCAGCTTGGCACATTTGGTGAGCTTGAATCTTAAGAATAATTATCTGACTGGTCACATTCCAGCCAACATCGGTGATTTGCAGGCTTTGGAAGAGCTCGATCTTTCGTACAATTCACTCAGTGGGAAGATTCCACCATCAATAACTAAACTGGGTTCCATTTCTGTCATCGACTTTGATACCAATAATCTTGAGGGAGAGATCCCATTTCCTTCAAGTTCTGGGCAGATGTCTTCCCTAAGATTTCTAATACTTGATAGTAATCGCCTCACCGGAGGAATTCCCTCAACCTTTGGTTATCTGACCTCCCTCGAAACAGTTTCCCTAGCGAATAACCGCCTCCAGGGGCCTATTCCTTCCAGTCTAGCTGGTCTACAATCTGTAAGAGATATATCTCAGTGGCAACAGCTTGTCTGGTCATATACCCCCATCGATAGGTCGTCTCTCTCAGCTTCTAATTTTCAGCATTTCTCAGAACATGATTCAAGGACCTTTGCCCCATGAAATGGCTTCACTGCAAAATCTTAAAACACTTGATCTCTCATTCAACCTTTTAAACCTGTCTTCCATCCCCAAGTGGTTTGTAGGACTGCCATCGCTTTCTCAGATTTACCTGGCCGGTTGTGGAATCCTAGGGGACATTCCTGATTATCTGAAAACAACTGGGTCACTAATAGAGCTCGACTTATCGGCTAACCATCTCACCGGAACCATACCTGCATGGATTGGAAGTCCAACTCAGCTCTACCTGTTGAACCTTTCGGTGAATTCACTGATCTCGGAGATTCCTGCAACAATTACCAACAGAACCTTGGGAGTGCTTGATCTCCACTCAAACAAACTAACAGGCACCATAAATCAGGTTTTTGAGACTCAAAGCTCGTTCAGTGGAGAACCAACATATCTTGATCTTTCTGACAATAGTTTTTTGGCGATATCGAGCAGATTGGCATAGGAGGGTATCTTGGGATCAAGTATCTCAACTTATCACATAACCTTCTCACAGGAAGGTTACCACCTTCTGTGGGTAAATTAGAATTTATGCAGAGTCTAGATTTGAGCTATAATAAGTTGGGTTCTGACTTGCCAGTCTCTCTGGCAAATATAAGCTTCTTGGAGAGGCTGAAACTGCAGAAAAATCGTTTTACGGGCGAAATACCAGGAGAATAATTGAAGTTGAGAGAGCTGAAATAGTTGGATTTGTCTGACAATCTTCTTGTGGGAAGAATTCCTTTTGGGAAGCCTCTAAGCGATTTTCCGAGAAGCTCTTACTCTGGAAACAAAGGTTTATGTGGTAAACCCTTGCCTCCTTGCAAGGCTTGATATTTGAATGTTCTATTGAATAGCTTAACCAACACAGCAAACATTTGTAATGCTTCTCAAAACTGCTTGATGTCATGGCCTAAATATCTGATATAAGCCCCTTCTCAATATCTATCTAAAGAGAGATGAGAAGTTTGGTGTCCTCTTGCTTTTATTAGCAGTGTAATACCATTACTACTTAATTTACAATTAACTTTTTCAGATAAAACTTCCCACTCTTCCATAACACTCTCTCTCTCTCACCCCAGTTTATATCACAGTAACTATTATTTGATTGGTAAGTATACAAGTGTGTCATGAAAACTAGTATATATGTATATCCATTTCTATTATACAGGGAAAGGGTAGATAGTTCTGTGTCCACTCATAAAATGTCTAAATTACTCTCCAATTCTGTGCAAATAATCACCATAACTCTCTTTAAGCCCACCTAACTGCCCCCACTAAAAAAGTTCTACTATTACAGTATTACTATCGGGTTTTTTAACTCACTCAACTGCCCAACTCTTAGTTTTTTCTCACTCTTCACATCTTTCTCCCTCTTTCTTCCAAAATCACTCATTCGTAGTCATGTTCACACCGACAACCGTGTGCACTAGTATATATAACTGTGTCATCAGCAGTTTATATGCTTCCATTTCCAGTAGCCAAATCATTGGAGACAAAAAACAATTTGATGCATTACCTCTACAAAGGGAAACATCTTCACTCCCTCTCATCATATCAAATCCAAAAAGAACCGGAACGGGTCGGAAAAAAACAAAAAAAATTATCCTTAACCTACGACTGTCAGTCTTTATCTATTATTCCCCAGACAAGTACAAATCCATCATGAAACGTATATGAATTGAACTTCAAACAGTTGATCAGAAATTATTTTTTGTGCTAGGGGAAACTCTGCAGGCAGCAGGACAGTGACAAGTTTTGTTTAATGAGTTGATATAATATGGGGGCTTAAGTCGGCAGTATCGGCTATCGGCTCAAAAGGCATTAATACACATGTCATGGTATGACATTAGATATATATATATATATATATATATATATGAAATATTAGATTAAAGAAATTGAACTAGACAAATAATTCAGATCATGTTAATTCGATAATCGTAATCTACTGATTTACATGAAATGTGGAATGGTATAAATACCAGAAGGTTCCGAATGTGGCCACGACTCAATGGAATTATCTCGGTATCAACTGATGCTATGAACCATGGACTGACTATACAGCAGTTGCAAAGCGTGCAAAAAAGGATCCGCAGAAACAAAGTTCCACTCTATTTGAAGGACGTATACAATCTATTCCGTGTGAGTGCTGTGTATATGTGTGTGTGCAATTGCATGCCTATGAATGTTGGAGCACTCCCCCTTAATTGTTAAAGATGGGCACAAAGATCCTACAAAAAATTGCCTTTTATTTACTATTACCGTCACGCTTACAGTGTTTGTGCAAATATTAAAGGGGCTCTTGACTCAACCCCAGCTGCTGGTAATTCATGTGATCAATTCCATTTAAACGTACACAACATAATATCTGCTCTGGCAATTCTTCAGCTTTGTTTCCCTGATTCACAATGGAAATAAAAGATATTATCACTTAAAGCTTCAAATTTGGAAAAAAAAATTATTTGAAAAGCATATCAAAAAAAAAAAAAGAACAGCGAGATTAAACTTGTTCAGGCAGTAAAAAGACTTGCCTGAATTGTGAGGCCAACATCCAAGATGCAGAGCTTTAGTCTATCTTGGAATGCTCCAAAACCCTTCCTAGAGATGTAACTAAATCTATGCATATCCAAATCAATCTCAAAATAGTTCCCCCCCTGTAAAATAATTCAGACCCGCTATCTCAGTAAGGAATATTAAACTAAAAGAAATCCGATTTTTGAGATTTCCTTGAATACTTTATCCTTCAGTATGAACTGAGGATCAGGAAAATTGGAAATCAGATTGAACCAACATGAAAAATGAGACTAAAACTTACCAAATAGAACTCATGTTGAGGACGCGAAAGAACTGGTTTTTCATTGTAAGCATGCAGAAGTTTCCTCTCAGGTACACTTAAACGAAGATCTTCCACATTTACTACTCGGCCCATTATCTTCAACCTTTCCCGGAAGGGTACAATTGTATCAACATGAAAACCTTTGACCTTTTCTACTTCATCATCAACTAGCCGCTGTTCCATGATAAATATAAATAAGTAAGCATGGCAAAAAAAAAAAAATAAATAAAATAAAATTGGACACAGGATATACGAAGTACATGATATGTAAAATATGATTTCTTCTTGAAAAGTTACAAATGTGGACGTACACGTGTAATATAGCTACAAGAAAAAAATTGGGATAAAGAATACAACGGCCATAGGTATAGAACCGAAATAAACTCGTGTAGCTGGTAAGTGTATTCCACCAAGAATTGCCGACAAAGGGGTATATTTGTTTATTTCAGTCTTCATCCTTATTTCAGATATGAACATACAATTCAGATATATTTAATTCATCTGAATGACTCAACTCATGCCAAAAAAAAACAAATGATCACAGTCATATATTACTTACGTAATGCACTCAGAAAAATTGATCATGTGTTCTAAGAAGATGGTGAAGGGAAATGAAAACATTTAATAAATTCCAATGTAACAAAGACTTTTTTTTTCCTTTGCAAAAAAAAAAGGGAAACAAAGCGAGATTCAAACTGCATTTGATATGTAAAATGAGATCTGCACTACATGGTTCAACTCGAGAGGGAAACAAACTGCATTTTTCCTTAAGATTCAGATCTGATCAAAGATACGGGAGCTTTTTTCCCTTGGTCAAGTATATACAAATATCTCACATCTACAATATGACTAATTACTAACCATTCTAAAAAGACCCTTTCAATCAGCATAAGCAAGTCTGATAAAAAAAAATCAGCACAAGCAATTAGAAAGAACCCGGAGCCATCTTGCAAGCTGAAGATCCAGAATAAGGGAACATGCACATATAAAATGTAAAATAGATAAACTAGCATGACATAATGCATTTAAGCTCTTTGCCTCACATTACGTGAGTGAAGAACACTACATTTACAAGAAAAATATATCATTGTGATAAAACACAGCTTTTCTAGTTTTCTTCATAGCATCATTGCAAGGACAAACAACCAAGCAGCTTAAGTGTCAAATATATATTAAAAACAAAAAGTCGCATGGTACAAAGCAGGAAAAATAAATTTAATTTAAAGAAATGGTAACAACTTACTATGATATTTTCTTGAAAATTGGATGGAAGTTCCTTAGAGTAACTTTCTGAAAGTTTAAAGTACAAAACAAAATTCATTCCTTCCCCATCAGTTTCACTCTGAAAAATTGAGGCAGGATACAACGGAACCTGTAAGATACACATAAGAATGTCAGTATCAAAACATAAGGACAATGAGAAAAATCAAATTAAGGCAATTCTGATCTCGCAGGACTACACTCTTTGAACTATAAAACAGGTTTCAATAGGTTTGTGAGGGTCAACAGTCAAGAATAGGTTTAATACTCCATGGTTTGAAATTTAAGGCTGCCAAGAAACTTTGTTTTCATGCATGTGACAGCTGGAAGGATCAACAGATAATTGGCAAGGAGTAATTGGATAGACACCGGAACAATAAGGGAATGACCGAAAATGCATAGTAGGGCCTGTGAAGTAATATATGATAGACTATTGCTTATAAATTTACAGAAGATACAGCCCTGATAGAGAAGCACAGTGAAAGTAATTTGGCTAGCAGGCCCAACTAGAACAACTGGAAGTTCTAAACTGTGCTTCAATATTCCTCCTGGGTTGCAGTACCTTGTTTTTCCTGGAAGGTATCAACCTCTACCTCCCCTCACACCCTGGTTCTTTGAAGAAATCCAAATTGTGAATACAAAAAAAAATTAAAACAGAGGGAGATGGTTCTCAGTTGTCACATATGCTTAGCCTATGATGAAACATTGAAATCCCTCAAGCACATAGCATAATTAAAGAAATAGGCAGGATTACTTCTACAAAGAATACTTTACAGCAGATCCAAATTGCTTGTAATGATTAACCATAATATTGAAATGTAATTTATAAGGAAATAGGTCAAAAAAATAGGGAGTACCTGAACATTTACAACAAGAATTGGTGGAAGTTTCCCAGACGAAGTAATAACTGGGAGTTCTACGAACCGAGCAATGTGATCAATTTTTCTTTGAGATAAGAATACATCAACACCAAATGGATAATATGCAGCATAATTTGGAGCGAATTCCTTCTTTTTATCCCTGCCAAACAAAAATTGGTTCCAAATGACATGCAAAAAAATCAGTAGGTAAGCTTCCAATACGAGAAAGGAGTTTTCTACAACTAGGAGGGTTTGCGATCAGCATGCATATATATAGCAAGTTGAGTCCCGCCCAGTTACCTAAAATAATTCTCCCCCCGAACTTTGAAAGTATTTGGCTCAATGTGTGACCAAGAATCAAGCATTTTCTTTTCGAGTGGGCAAAGAGATACTTGAGAACCAGCTATTGGTCTTTGCAGAAGCATCTTTGAAGAAACTGAGAAAACCAAGAGATAAGATAAGTGGCTACACTTCAATTGTTTTGCTACTTTCTTCATTGAAAAAAGTTGCATCTATAAGTACTAAGCATGACTATCAAATAAGAATGTTAATTTTGTTTTGCTATGTTTTATTTACCTTTTTCTTTTTCTTTTTTGTGTGGGGATGGGGAGGAAACCATTGGACAGAAAACAAAATGAAATCGGTTTAACATAAATTGAGGTTCAGGTTCCTGATTTAAAATTCAAATAAAGGTGACTTTTTGAAGATGAGAGGAAGAGATAGCAAAACACAAACTGAAATGACACATCAAATTCATCATAAAATTACATTAAAGAACATTCAGATCAGCTTTTAAAGCATAGGACACAACAATTGTAATACTGCAAAATTCACCTTATGCCTTTTCTTTTCTTCTTGATAAGGACTTATCACATAAAATACTAGTTAGTAAGATTAGCAAATGAATAACTTCAAAATAAATCCCAAAAGTTAATTAAGATTGAAGATCAAACTTAAATCATGGAAATGCTATTGATATTAAATAATAAATGAGAAGAAGATAGGGAAGTCACAACAGTAATAATTGACAATGATAGTAGTAAACCTAACAATACAGACACAATATGTGTGTATTAATGTTGTGTTCAAGTATTAGATCTATTAAAATCTGGAAAGGTGATACTCACGTAAACTGGCACTAGAATGTCCTTCCTTCCATTTGAAGGGAAGTTTCAAGGCTGCCTTTTTCCTTGCACTTGGTGGACTAGAGATTAGAGATCTTCTCTTCTCAACTGCTGGAACAGTAGAAGCAAGACAGGGCAAACAATTGTTCGGTATAATTCCACAATTGTCTAATAAACCATCCTCCCTACCAGCACTTTCATCTAGAGAGGAGATTTCGTCAAGGTAAACAGGTTTTGCTTCATTCATAGGTCCATCGGATCTCTGTATCTTTTCAGCGGTAGAGGTGTGTTGGATGTTGATGTCACCATCTCCGTGATTAACATATCTGACAGGAGCAATACTCGACATGGACGCACCTTCAAAACCATTGAGTGATAGCACATCTGCAGATATAAAATGTATATCGTGATAGACTATAAGCATGACAGATTAAGAAGAAGACGAAATTCAGCCATTTTATCACAGAGAATCACTAAATATTAGACCATCAGGAACACTTTGGAAATCTTCATCACTGCAATCAGATTCAAGTATTGCAGCAGAATCAAACCAAGCCTCCTCAATGCTTCCTGCCAGTGCCATCACATATCAACAAAAATAGGAAAGTCAGCTACGGAAAAAATCTAATGACTTGTTTATGAATGAGCAGCAATAATTCCAGTTACAACTAGGCTAGATTAGTACATCAGAACAATTGTCTTCCACCTTAGCATTTGTTAAAGTACAATTCAAGCTTCACCAGAAACAATATTTTGAAAAGCTATGTGAAATTCCTCATAATAATCTCTGCAAGGTTCGACATTGGTCCTTGGTTTGGTCGCTAGGCTCGAGAGGGCCCTTCAAAGCCCTGAATTCAGAGTGTGGTTAACCTCTTAGTCGTTAACAACACCTTAATTAGCACATCTCTCACTAAACGAACCATCAAGCCAAGTAGGCAATTTCCCATCACCATTGCTGATAGAAATACTCTGCAACTTCCTAAAAACTACATATACATAGCATAGGTACGACGATGAAAAGAACATTAATATAAGACAATTCTCACAAATTTACAAATAATAATAATAATGATCTTATAATTATTCAAAGAACCCCACATTTTGGCCAAAAGAACCCTAACGTTTGGAAATTTTGGCCAAAACATTATTGAAATGAAAAAGTATATTTTTTCCCAAAAAGCATAGCCACTCATTTACAGACCTTTGCAAATATAAATGTCTAATGCAGCTAGCTAACTCCACCTATTCAATCTATCAATGAAAAAGCAACAAACAAATCAAAACAAAAATCAAAATAAAAAATACAATCTCCACAGATATGCTAGATCGAGACACCTAATTATCACTTCCCATAAAGTAATACATACACAAATGTATACATACATATAAGAGAGAGAGGGAGAGAGAGAGAAGGGAACCGTGGAGAATGGGGTTGTTGAAGGATCGATCGGTGGAAAGTCTGACGGGCTTGTGATCAACTTTGTCGGCGGAAGATCGATCTGACAAATGAGATGAGATTCTTGGGTTGATAGCTTTCCTTCTCTTCTTAGACTTCTTCTTAGAAGACCCAAATCGACCTCCAACACAACCCTCTTGCATCGATACACAAGCTCCCATATCTATAGCTGCCCAAAAAAAAAAAACTTCTCTCCAGATAGAGAGAGAATGCAACAAACCACTCTTCAATCACAAACCTCACTGATAACCAATCCACTATTCATACACCCCAAATCAGTCCAGACGAGAGAGAGAGAGAGAGAGAGAGAGAGAGAGAGAAATCAAGCGTTGGATGGAAGAGAACCCACCAACCACCTCTTCTTTCTCTCTATATATATATTCGGTGCCCGGTGATTTTCAGAGCTTTGCTAAAAGTCTCAGGAGAGAGGGAGAGAGACAATGAGAGAAGTCAATAACGCTTACGAGTGAGGCATCTACCGTGGTGGGACCTAGCGGAATGAGTAAATATTGTGTGACGGTGATAGCACATGGCTAGTGGCACCTGGCAAATAATAAATTTATAAATAGAGAAGTTAAATTTTATTTAGATAATTACTATAATATGAATAATTCATTTGTTTATTAGTTATATTTTTTTATTAGGTAGTAATGTTAAGTATCAATAATGATGTGGTGCCTTATTATACCTAATATTTTTTCAATTGGAATAGGAAATAGACACGTGGCAAATATCGGGGGAAGGGAGGTGAGTGTCTGGTGATCTGAGTTCGCGTGTTTGTGCAATTGTTTTTTTTTTTTTTGACATTATTTTCTCTCACCTGTCTGCCACAATATCTGACACACAATCCTCTGTTTGGCTCCGGAACGTTACGTTGGTGCCTACGTGGGATGAGATCAGTGCATGTTTTTACGATGACGACGATGGTCTGTGAAATCAACATGTGTTTGGGCAAATAGTTCATGGTTTTAATCTTAATCGTATTTTATTAAATTCGTGTTGTTAATAAATTATATTTAATTAAATTATTGTCAACTTAATACTCTTTAGTGTGCCTGATTCATTTGTTTCTAATCCATGTACGTTTTAACTAAACTTAACCATGATAATTCTATATTAACCTTGTGGGTCATGTGTAGATGACAACCCTAACAAGTAACAACCATGATTCTTCATATGTAAAACTATTATAAAGTTTTAAGGAGCTGTGTTGTATGCCGACTACTACACTTCTCTTTTTTCAGGAGTTGTGTTGTACTTTGGCTCTTGTTCATCAAAAAAAAAAACTATTATAAAGTTGTGCGATTCTTCGTATGATTTGCAACTCATACATAAATCTATTATAAATTATTGATACACTATAAAATTTTAACTATCAGTCCAAATTTAAATTGGTGTCGGGACAAGGTTGAGGTAATAGAGAAAGCTTTCAAATTTTTTTAGTTTTGATTAAAATTTTATAGGTTAATTTCGATCCCGAACAACCGTACAAAAAAAATTGTATAGTGATTATATGTCACCCAACCAAAATATAATGAATTTTACCGTAGCACGGTTGTCATTGAATAATTCAAGTCCCAAATTTGATAATTCTTTGAAACTAAATCCTTGGTTTTGTGCAAACATTTACCTACCGGTCATTATGAGATTTGATAAGAAAGGTTTACGTGTTGCAGCTATGCTAAAATTAAAAAAAAATCATAATGTAGTCATGAAAGTCTCGACCACCCAAATTGAAAACTTTAAGAAAAGAAAAATGTGTACATGCAGTAAGTAGGCACGTCATTCGATTGGGTTTTGGCTTGGATTTGAATAATTTAATTTAATTAAATTCTAACAAAATACATATAAATTTTAACTCAATTTTCTTAATTTTTATACAAACATCTATAATTATTAAATAAGTTCATTCGACGATCTCAAATAGACTCGTTAAATGGTCACCAACATCTCTCTCAAAATTATTCGTAATGCACCGTGCTTTGAAGCACAAATTACCTCACATATAAATATTTCGGGTCGTATATAAGTATATTCAAATTTAAAATTTATAAAAATTTTAAAGTTGGGAATTCGAATCTCGTCATCCTTTTCTTATAATAATGGCCAATTATAACACAAGATCACAAAATCACTCCCAATCTCTTCCTTTCTCATTCTTAAATTAATAAATATCACTCTCAATCTCACCCTTTTACAAAAATCACTCTCAATGTACTGAATTTTATCTATAAAACTTTTTAATAATAAATCGATAATTGTATATTAATTTGGGAACTCACTTCAACATCCAAGTTTTTATTCAAGTGACTCGACGACAAAATATCATATTGGAGTAGATCTAACACCCTAATCCCCTATATAAAAGAAAAGTCTTGATAGATCGAAATTATACGATATAATTGCTATTTCGAATTTAATTCTATTATACTGGTAAAATGTATGTGATAATCTTTACAATTCAAGCTTGGATCTCCCCTTGTCACTCGTTGTATATCGAAATATATGATTTTTTTTTTTTTTTAAATTTGAAAACAAGTCAACAAAATGAACTCTAAACAACAACAACAACAAAAGATTAGGTTTAACACTAAGCTGATTATTACAATTAAATTAATAGAGCTCTTAGTATTGACTCTCTGTCTCACGTTAAGTCCATGTGTGGGTGCACTTATCCATTAATTCCCTCGGTTCGAGGGCAACTCTTGAGGAGGCATTGATGCCCTTCAGAGTTCAGAACCGTCGTCCATTTTTTAAGGTCAAAGATCATGTAAATTCAAAGGCATTTTCATCTTTATCGATTAACCCGTGTTTGAATATACAGTACAATGTAAATAATTTTGAAAAAAATATTGGTGACTGTTAGATGAGTCTATTTAAGATCGTCATATGAGTTTATTGAAATATGTCATATTTTATATTATAGATAACATCAATACGTGACTTATTCTCAAATCTTATCACCTGCTAGAACTTTAGTATTAATTTTAATTTCTATACCAATCTTTTTTTTCCTTGGTTTTACTTTTGAAGTCATTCTGCCCAATTCTCGATTAAGATAAATAGAAAACCTACTACATTTTTTTTCAATTTGATCTGACAATTTCAAATTTTCTGGTGTTTTTGATTTTCTTAATAAAAGTTTGAACAAAGTGAATTGATATTTACAATTTTCATATTTAAAAAACAAAGTTCAAGAAACAAATTAAAACGTACTCTCCCGGGGGTTAAAGAACTCCTGAATATGTATTATTTAAATACAATGATTTTTTACGCATTGTTCCCGTTGACTTTTATGTATTTATATAATGACCCCTGTCTTCTTCTTTTTTTCCATTTTTTGTAACTTAGTGGTTCACTCTTTTCTTTTAATTGTTTGGAACAAAAATATGAGATGCTCTAAGTCTTTTATATTTTGGCCAAAAATAATAAATCTTTTTTATTTAATACATTGCACCTATTTTGAGCAAAAAAATTATAAAATTGCCCCTAACTTTTTTCATTAAGTTAACAACTCCTAACTTAGTAAAAACAATTAGTTGAAAAAAGCAAAAAAAAAAAAAAAAATTAAAGGCATACAACATAAGATTAATAACTTCAAACTTTCCGTCACAACAATAGTCTTGGTGGTTCCTCTTTACTTGAATTCTTTTTTGTTTTGCGTAATGGAACCATTAAACTGCTCATTTTTATTCCAAATGGGAAAAGGATATATGCCAAAGTTAGGCATCCGCATCACAACCTTAAAATGTTTGGTCGGCTGCTGGAATGGAACTACCCCCCCCCCCCCTCTTTTTCTCTTATTTTTGAGTAAGCGTCTGGGATTTGGTATTCTATTGAAGAAAAGAATAGAATAACGATTTTGATTCCGATTTCTTTCGATCATCACATTGTTTTTGAGACGGGAACGTTTATTTTATCCTACTATTACGATCATCAATATATTTTTTTCATTCTATTATGTACACCCAAGCATATACCCATGTATTGTCCCACTGAAATTTAAGATAAGTAATTAAAGTAATGGAAAAAATATTTTAATGGAGGGATTTTAAAACAAATGTGAAATTATATATTTAAATTTCTCTCAATATTAGATAACGATTGGTGTATAATTCATTTATATATAGTAGATCCTACTTAAACTATAGTGGCCGATCTACCATTGAAGATAACTAACCGAAGGGTATTAGAATGGATTGGGATCCACGTGCATAAAAAATATGTACCAAAACTTATGTCAAATTACTTGCAATCATTAGATCAGTAGATCCTATCAGTGATTTAAAGACTGCAGTTAATTTGGTATGGATCAAGAATTGTTTCAAGTACTTGTCAGGTTTGTGCAGTTGCTAGGTTCTGCCAAATTTAGCTGCAAAGGGTGTTCTATGTCTTCCCGTAAGATGAAATAAACAATAGAAATGAAAGCAAATTAACAAAGAATCTTCTTTTTTTTTGAACTTGAATTAACAAACAATCCAATGGAATTGAATGTGACATAGATCACACATTACTAGGGCACCGTTGATTTGTGGTCATGATCCTAATTGTATTTGGGAACCACTGTGGAAAAGCCCAGGTGCCTTAAAACCATGGTCCGGCCGAGTAAGCATAGGGAAACTTGGGTTCAATAATCTTGTGTAGAATCTAAAATCTTCAATGAAAGCATCTGTCTCCCATGAAGGGGAAACCACCTTCTTTGAGCTGAAAATGATGATTTTCAGAACTGTCACAATCACTCTTGAAGATAGCATTGTGCAGTTGCAGTGTGTTGGTTATGAGGTAAGACTTTCTTACTGCTTTCGCTTCCGAGTAAAGACTTCTTACTGTCACGACTATTTTGGCTATTTCATCCACAAGGCATCCCAATATGAACACTCTTTATATGAATGAAAAATACTACTCGTACTTAATTTGATAACATCATTGAAGCCTCGTTCCCCAAAAGCTTAACAAAATCATAGAAAACCTCAATTCTCCACACGTCCCACAACACTCTCTCTCTCTCTCTCTCTCTCTTTCTCCCCCTCCCCCCCCCCCCCCCACACCATGAAACACTCCTACGACGATGATCTACACATCTCTCTCTCGTCTCCTTTTTTGTCTCTCCCACTAGTTTCAACCCTCTGCTGGTATGCACTTCCATCTTTTTCTCCTCTCTCCCCCCTGTTGCTCTGCAACTTATGGTCTACGACGCCACGCTCTCGCCTCTTCCTTTGGTCTCACCAGCAACACCCCCTCCTTACCATGTACAACAGCCATCATCTACCATCTCAAATATCACCAATTACAGTACACTGCAAAAATGACCACACTTGCCATCAACTGCAAAATTGTTCAGAAAACAGATTTTTGCCATGAAATATTGAAACATCAACACCAATGATTATCCAGGGAGGAAAGTTGGGCAGTCCAATATGACATCCAATTCGTTTCCATTTACTTTTTGTTTGTTAACAACCTAAACATGTAATGATCAAGAAAACAAACTCCACAGGAAAATTCCTGCAATCGATCGGATAGTTGATTTACAGTAAGTATTGAATGACCGGCACCTGCAACAAAGAACCGTGTTGGGAAGGGGTCAGAGACATTTTTTGCTTATCATCTCTAATGCCCAAGTCAGTAGGAATTCAAAGGGAAGATAAGGTTTTTATTGTGCTAGATTGCTCGCAAATGTGTACCTGAGGCCATGTTCAATGGGATAGTTATACCTTCAAATTGGGTGATGTACTGGTATAGGCATCCCATCAACCCAGCTTAGGGGTGCTTCATAGGCACACTCATCATCAATGAGTTACACCTTCTTCGAGTCGTGTAATTAATAGGCTTGTGAAAAGTTAGTGTTAACTTGGGGTCTGATATTGTAATGATTAGTCATCTCAGGGTATTGAGCATTCAATGTACGTTCTTTCAGTGTTTAATAATTTTTACAAGTTATTTATTGAGTTACGTCAAATACTTATTATTCTGCTCTCGATCATTAAATACACTATCTCTTGAGAGATTATTATCAATCAGGATTATGCCTTTATTCAAATCTCACGGGGTGACGGTACAGTCTTGATATGACCGACTAATGTGTGTAATTAACTTCTTGACACAACACTTCATGGTGGGGCCACATCACTGTGCAGTGTTAAATGCTCAGGCTCATGGATTTTTTGATCTGCATGGAGAATTTCCTTGGATCATGAACTAGGGACTGACTCAATATCTCGGCACTTTACTGTTTGTGTCCACGTGTCAAACTCTAACACGAATGTCGCTTCGTGTGCCGTCTCACATAGTTTTAATTTAGTGTCAACTTAAAAAGAGAAAAAAAGAAAAAGAAAATCAGAACTGCATACAAGATGTCTCCAGACATGTCTCTATATGAATCATACTCATGTTCCTCTTTCTTCATTCCTCATCTTGATTTTTGGGTAAGTCAGGAATTGATTTTTTTAACTGGGGCAACTCTCTTCCGGAGTTAACTTTCTCACAGAAGACATAGTGTCTAGCAAAGCAAGTGAAGTAGATTAAATTTATGGCTCCCAAACTTGCAATGACATAATAGTAGTAGTCTAGCCTGTTCATATTAAGATCATGGCCACCCAGCCATGGTGATCTGCCATTGCTTCCACTTGTACTGTGTATGAGATTAACAATGAGGGTGCTCAGGTAGCTTGCAATGGACAAGCTTAGGAAAAATATCGACCCTGCGATGCTCCTCATGCTCTCTGGCATCTGAGTAGAGTAAAATTCCATTATAGCCACTGCTGCAAAAGCTTCTGTCAAGCCAGATAGGATAAACTGAGGCACGAGCAATGCAACAAAGATTGGTGAGGCAAAAGAGCCTTGTTTTAAGGCTGATTCTCGACGCTGCCTCTCAACTACACCAGCTACCAACACGCAAAGTATCGAAATCACAATGCCCGTTCCAATTCTTTGTTGCAATGTCAATCTTGCTTCTCTTTGGAATATTTTCTTCATCAGAGGGATGTAGAGACGCTCGTAAATGAATATCCAGATAGCCAGTGCAATCATTGATGATATGCCCATCCAACCTGGTGGGATCTTGAAGTGCTTTCCAATGGAATTGTTCATTTGGATTGCCTGAAGAACACCAAATGTGCCCATTTGGTCCATCACTATGAAACAGCCAATACCCGAAAACCACACAGGCACAATTCCCACCAGACATTTAAAATGTTCCACCTGTTGCACACTGCACAATTTCCAACTATTGATGGGCTTGCCTTCAGAATTCAATTCATTTGGGGAAATTATGATTGCAGCCTTGTCAAGGAACTTGAATCTATGAGTGTGTGTGAGCTCAGCTACTTTCGGATCTGACTCTGAATCTGAATCTGATTCATTATTCAATGGATCATAAAAGGAGTACTTGCAAGTTGGTGATAGGATTATCCTTCGCTTACGAAGAGCAGCCGTGATCACCTTGGACATGTCCACAAAAATGCTTCCTTGGGGATTCTTGTATATATAAAAATGGCGTCCCAACAAGAAAATAAATATCGAAAAGGCAAGGCAAGCAGTTGGAATGGCAAAACCGAGGACCCAACTGACATTAGTTTGAATGTACACGACGACAGTGAGAGCTATGAAGAGAGCAATTGTGAACGAGAAGTACCACCAATTGAAGAAGCTTTGGAGTTGTGCCTTTCCTTTTTCTGTTGTTGTGTCGAACTGATCAGCACCAAAGGCAATGTTGCATGGTCTGATGCCTCCTGCTCCTATAACCAGCAGTCCAAGGCCTGTAAAAAGGAAGCCAAGCTGCCACATTTGAGGCTGGAGGCAATGGGACTCTTCTTGGCAGGTGGGTGGTCTTAGTTGAGGTATGCCTGCAGTTAGTGTTACAGTCCCCATACCCTGATGAAAGGAAATAATTATTGTTCATGTTCGTGACCTTGGGCTTTTAACTAGATGCTTGTGTTCAATCTGTTCAGTTTGCGTTTGATGATTTCGCTTTATCTGCGCATAATAGTTTCGATAAACATGGATGATTTTTTATTTTTTTTGTTCGGGTAGACAATCACAAAAAATTAATACATCTAATATTACCAGTTGAAAATTTGGCATGTTGATATACACACAATATAGAATCATATACATCGTTCCTAACCTACATCTCTCTCAAAGTTAGAACTTTAGGAACACCAGGTGTATTGCATTATCAATGTTTTCAAAACAATCAATCAATTACTCATCTATAGGGGAATAGGTACTATATGACTTGGATATGCACAGTCATCAAGCACTTGACATGACAAGCTTTCAATGCTTAAGATGGTCATTAACCCAGGTGGCATAAATTCCCTGGGAGTTATTGGAACTTAAACACAAAATCCATATACTCAATAGGTATGCGGAGATTTAAGAAGCAATTAAAGAAAAAAATTCAGACGAAAGCTATTAAATTAGCAAGCAAATGTTTGTGCTGTTCGGAGCATGACAAAGAAAGTACTGATCACCTATATATTAAAAGTGAGCATGCAATGGAGGTTTCGAAATTTTTTATCGCTTTTTTAATAAAAATAATACTATTCAAACATAAAAAATCTAACGTTATTTACTGACTTGATGACCTAAAAATATAATATGGAGAAATGAAAAGATTAACCCCCCCCCCCCCTTCTCTCTCTCCCCCTCCTACCCCCCAAAGAAAAACCAACAAAACAAGTAATTCAATGGTGCTGCAGAAATGAAAAGATAATATACCAGAAAAGAAGCAATGGAGCCAAAGAGAAGAGTGAGGAATCTGCCCACATAAGCATCGGAGACAATGGCACCAGCTAATGATGCGAGGTTGGAGGTACCAGACCATATTGTAACCACATTTACCAGAAGTATACCCTCCATGTTGTAATTTGTACGTAGATACACTGTAATGTTAGCAATCAAGCTCATGGAAGCCAACTTCTCAAATGACTCATTACCTTCACAGGTTAAGAAAACACAAAATAATTATATATCAATCACACAAACAACACGAAAAACTGTATAAACACCAAGTTTCTAATCATAAATTCATGTGATTTCATTACCCAGAATGTATTTTATCGATCTCCAACCTCCTGCTTTTCTATGAGGTGGAGGAGGAGGGTCTTCCTCCATTGCAGAAAATGTACTCTCTCCCTCCCTCTCTCACTCTCTCTCAAAAATTTTACTCTTTCAATTTAAATATGTGAAGAAAGAGAAACTAACTACGGATTGATAAATTGAGGGAACAGATTACTCGGGACAGCCAAATATTGTAGGTAACAAACGCTATCAGCTACCTATTTGCGAAGAATCCTCAAGCAGTTTAAACGTCCAATATTTCTCGGATTCAATTTGAGTCCGTGTTGCCTGGGTGTGGGTTTTGTCGTGTTGTTTGACTTTGTGTCAACACCAATTAAAAAATATATATTTTATTTTGTTTTGAGAGTGAAAAAATAATCTAGACTATTTATTATATATCAGTAATAATTCGTGCTTGAACACACTAAATAACTCAAAAAATCTTGAGCATCGACCATGCAAATAAAATATTTTCAAATAGTACTTTATTTTTTATTAAATTCTTTAGTTACACAATTTAAAATCAATTTAAAAATACTATTTTTAGCGCGTGTAGAGTGAAGGAGTGAATATGAGATAGATAGAACGAGAAAGTTGTATGAGAGATGAGATAAATGTATGAGAGATAGGGAGAGAGTTTTTCGGGATGGGAAAGTGTATGTTTAAATTGTTTGTTAGATAATCTTTGTTATTAGAGTTTTAATGAATATTAAATGTATTTTGTTATTGTTACATATATCTATATTTATATCTATACTACTAATAAAAGTACATTAACATGAAAAAATTTTGATTCACTATTTTACCCTCACAAATAATTAAAAATGTCATTCTATCCTTCCAAATTTAATATCTAAATTATCATCATATCCTTATGCATTTAAATCTCTAAATTACATATAAGCTCATTTTTAGTTATATATTCCCTATATATAAATGTCAATTTTTATAAAACTTTTTGATTGATTATATTAGTCTTAAAAAATATATGCGTCATTAAAAATTTTAACAAATATTCAAAAAAGCCTTAAAAAATTTCATCATATAATATTACTCACCTTATTTATAAAGATAATTAATATTATAACTACATATTTATATTTTATTTTTTGTCAAAATGTTTAACCCTTTTATTTTTAAGATCAAAAATAATGTAAATATAGTTTTACATGATTTTTTAGTCGCACTAAACTTTCAGACTTTGTTAAGATTTTATGTAAAAACTCAATTTTTCAAAAAAAAAATTAATATGCTTTATAATATATATTATAACATTGTATATTAAATTTGATTCCAATTAACCTAGATAATCTTAAATACAGTAAGATTTCAATATGATTGATATATTGATAATTATTTTTATTTTATTCAATAATTTATAAGTAGAATTTCAATCAAATTAATTTTCTAATTATCTATTCTTTATTTATAAATTTTCAATTTTTATAAAAAATTTTGATTAATTATATTACTCTTAAAAAATATGTGCATTATTTTACATTTTAACAAAATTTTCAAAAAAAACTCCAAAAATTCTATCAATGTAATAATACTCATCTCATTTATAAAGATAATATTATGACTACATATGTATATTTTATTTTTCATCAAAATGTTTAACTATTTTATTTTTAAAATAAAAAATAATTTATATATAGTTTTACATGATTGTTTAGTCACAATAAATTTTTTAAACTGTATTAACATTTTATGTAAAAACTTGAATTTTTAAAAGTTTTAATAATATATATTATGATACTGTATATTAAATTTTATCTTAATTGACCTAACTAATCCTAAATACAGTAAGTTCCAATACGATTGGTATATTGATAATTATTTTTTTTTATTCAATGATTTATAAGTGAAATCTTAATCAAATTAATTTTAAAAAATTTAATTTTCAGACATCACTAAAAAAATCAGTTTCAATTACAAAATTATAAAAATAAAATAAAACTTTGACTATTTCATTTCTTTTTTTATTATTATTTTTCTTAAAGTTAAAACAATAACTCTTGAAAATATACAAAGTTTTCAAAAATTTTATAGTGAAGCATGAGAGACGAAAAAATAAATTTGGTAAATTTGAGATAATATTTAATTCAAGTACCCATATATAAAATATTTATTTATTAATTTTTTAAAATAAAAAATTATTTACGTGTAACGCACGCGGTGCATTGTTAGTATATATAAACATTAAAGTCAAACTCTCTAACTCCAATTACTTTATTATTTTATGCATTTAAGATAAAGAGAGAGTGAGTATGATATAGATAGAGAGATAGTTATATGAGGTATGAGAGATAGTTATATGAGGTATGAGAGACTGTGTGTTTAAAATGTGACAGATTTGTCTTTAGCTTTTCACGGCTTAAATTGTTTTGATCCGATAATCCTAATTGGACTTTTATTCCTTTTACAATTTTAAAACTTTCATCTTTTATATAACTCTCTATCTATCTCTCTTATACTATTATTATTTTTTTTGTTTGTCTTGTGTTATTTATATTATTATTTACTTTATAAAATAGATGAAATTACATGTTATATAATTATTCATTCACTGAAACTTCTTCATTTGTAAATAACACTTAATGTAAATAAAAAATAGTACATTGACTATAAAAATCAGATAATATTAAACATAAAATAAACATTAGGTTGTAAATTAATATAACTAGTAGGTAACCTGTGCCCAGGGGCGGTTTAAGCCAATTTAAGGCCTAAAGCGAAAATATTAAATGGAGGTTTTTTTTTTTTTTTAGTATTATTTTTTTAAAAAAATTAATTTATTTTTAAATTTTTATATAATAGGAAGACAAAAAAAAAGATGTGTTAATGTTGTCGAAAAATAGATTTCAACTTCTATGTTTGTTTTTTACCACAAAGAGCAAGAGAGAGTGTTTAATTTTGACTTTTATTTTTTTTTATTTTTTACCGAAGAGAGAGAGAGGGTAAGAGTCAATATGAGTTGACTTTTGAGTATTTTTTTCAAAAATTTTAAGTTTTTAATGTTTTAGATTTGATTATATGGCCAAATTATTGAAATAAAAATTTTGATTGAAATTAATTTTTTTGAATTTTTTTATAGGGCTTAAAATTTAATGGATTTTATTTTTTTGTGAACTAGTGATGTACCTAAAATTATGGGATCTTCTAAAAATTTGGGGCCTAAAGCCCATACTTTTTTTTCCATATAATTGGCCCAGCCCTACCTGTGCCTGAAAGTACGGTATAATGTGAATGATTTTGAGAGGAATGTTGGTGGTCGTTGGCTGAGTCTATTTGAGACTGTTGGATGGGTTTATTAAAGTCTGTCATATTTTATATTATAAATTTTATCAGACATTAACATTTAATTTTGTCCCATTTATATTCAATTTTGTCGATTTAATATCAAATTAATTTTTATTGTTATCAAATTAATATTAAAATTTATTTAATCAATTTTTTGGAGTACTAAATTATATCAATTTTTAGGTATTAAATCAAATTTTATTTGATTTTATTAAATTTTTAATTTTTTTAAAACTAAATTTGGAGAAAGGCAATTGTAAAAATAATAAAAAAAAAATTAGAATAAAATTATCAATTTTCGTTAGCAATATTGAAGATGAGAGAGAGAAGGGGTCTCTGTAAAATGAATTCAAACCTTAAGGGGTCTCCATGTTATTTATAAATGTCAAGAGGTATCCGTGTAATATTGTCAAAACTCAAGGGATGTTAGTGATTTTTACCCTTTGTTAATTAAAAATTAATTTATTATTATTTTATCTTTAAAATATGAATTATTATATTTATAATAAAAGTAGTTATTAATTAGAAAGATTTGTTGGTAACCAAAAAAGAAATATGTAGAGGTGTGTTTCTGTGTATATTTATACGTGAAGGATTGAATATTTGGTAATTAAATATATAATTATATTGTGTCATTTTGAGTTGAATGATGATAATGGTAATAAATTCATTAGTTTTATAAATGATTAAGATTTGATTGATTTTATTTATTACTTAAAAATTGGGAATTTAAATGTATTCTGTTAGTATTTTTTATTTTTTACTTGAGGTATTTATTATATGGAGATATGGTGGATTAGAAATATTTTGGTTGAGTTTATAATTATTTTGTATTATTAGATTGAGTGGTAATAGAAGTGATAAATTTGTGAATCTTATAAATAAACAGATTTTATTTTTTACTTAAAGATTATAAATTTCAATGAGTTATGTTAGTATTTTTTTTCTCAGAGGTATTTGTATATATGATGTTGTTTTAGAGAGATTTTATATATTTTTATGATAATTTCATTAATATAGAAGACATGGTCGACGATATATTTCGAACAATTTTAAAAAAAGAATTAATATGAATATTTTTAGATTATTTCTTTTGAATTTAGACAATTATTTAAGATTTTTTTGTTTGTTGTATAGTGCCTTCAGGCACAGACAATAACTAATATATCTATAGAATGACATTTGTTAATGAATCTATAATTTGTTAGAGATAATCCTTGTTATTGTAGTTTTAATGAGTATTAGATGTATTTTATTATAATTAAATATATATAGTCATTCAGAGAGAGTTATATGAGAGATGTGAGAGTGTGTATTTAAAAAGTGTGAAATATAGGAGACAGAGTATGAGATAGAGAGAAAGAGAGCTATATGAAATATGAGAGTTTTAGATTTGTAAAAAAATAAAAATTCAATTATAGAGAGAGAGAGAGTGGTATCGGTTAGTATAAGATAATTACATAAGAGATATAAATCTTAGAAAAATTTCGCATAAGAACCGTCAGATCAAAAATCATTAAGCGATCTCAACTGCAAAAAGTTTAAGACAAAATTTTCTAACTACTTTATTAAATAGATATTTAATAATCATGTTAATTTTAAAATTGTGTCGTGTCAAATTTATATCGGGTGAGAGTTGACCATCGTTTTTCCAAGAAAATATTGAATGTAAGCATGGTCATATATTTTATTTTCGTCCTAACAATTTTTTATTTTACAAATAACATCGAGTATTATAGAATCAGATAAACAATTGACAATTCGTCCATGTAATTTTAGTCCATGGATGCAACACGGTATACGGAACCACATATATTTTTATGCTTGGTGGTGTCTTGCACTTTCCCATTTTAAGTTCATGATATTGATATTATTTTAATTAAAATAATTCTATAACAATGGGTGCTAGAGCGATTGATCGTTAAATCCTCATAGGTCATAGGTGTCGAGTACAATGTTGGCTGATGCACAATAACAGGGTTTTAAAAGACAAAAGAAGATTATGACAATTAAAAAAGACGTACACGATACACAAAACTCCTAAGAGCATTGTGGCAACCAGTAAGAGAAGTTTGCAAGTGTTGCTTAAAAAGATTTGTACATCAGAAAGAAAGAGAGGTTAAGTCCAACGTGGTTCACACATACAGGAGAACTTGTTAAGAAATTACGTTTGAAAACCTCACGTCAAATAGAAAACAAATTGAGTATCACCATGATGTAATCTCATCATTCAATGATTAAAAATAAAAAAAAATTCTTAGGGATAGTCAAACTTGTCATACTTTCCACACCCACACCTCTTAAGGGTCGGCCACCCTTATTCCTCAAAGGACATGTCATTAAACTAACTTGAGTTACGGTGACCAATTTAATAGGCGCAACCCTTAATCCATAACAAAAACAAAAAGGCAAAAGGATTACTCCGGTATAATGTAATAACAAACTCATCTATACCTATACCACTAACAGAAATCACTTGACCTAAAAAAATGTGGTTTAATCAATATACCCTTATTATTAAAAGAGTTGATGCCAATATTATCATGTAAGAACTCAAAATGGCGAAAATATTTCAGGATTTACAGCAGTAAGACTGAATGGAGAAAGCCTTGGGTAATGAATAATTATGTCACTGGCTGTGCCCTGTTGTAGGACGTTCCACTCTGATTGAAGTTATCCCCACTCGATTCAAAGTAGGACATAGCTGCCCATATCACACGTAGGAGAAGGATTACCACGAATACCATGCCTCCAAGGGTGCAGACCACCTACAAACAACATCAGATACAATCAGGCGCTCGTCAGTACCGACTTTCCTTGGAAAAGCTTCTGGCAACCACACCTCGCCAAAGCATAATAGGTGGGGAGGGTGTGGATGTGTGGGTGTGTTCTTTAAGGGGAGTTTAGCGGGCAGGTTCATAAGTTTGATTCTTCCAAAAAGATGTAATAAGATGAGACTATAGTTTTGATCAAATATTAAAGTACTGGTTGACCTGAAATCCATCTGCAAACCTGCATGTACACTAAGAAGATGTAATGACAATGCATTACCTCAAGAAGTGCCTTCAGGATGCATAGCGAAGCCAAAAGAAGAACCCCATCAACAGCGAAAGCCACCTGCAGTCCAGCGTTGAGATAGATAGGGAGACAGCAAAACAATTAACTTCTGATTGGAAGGATAAGCAACCAAGTCAAAAAACGGAAAAGATCACTATTTTGTCTGTGCTAAGATCAGCCAAGAGTTTGTCAGTGTTAATATGTAGAATGGCAGCATAAAAAAGTTTAATAAGAGTACAAGACTCGGGTGGAAGGTTAAGCAGCAAGTCAAAAAAGATCACGATTTTTGTGTTTGCTAAGAGCAGCTAAGAATTCACCGTGTCAATATGTAGGATGACAGCATAAAGAAAGTTAAATAGGACTGCACACATAATGTCATAATCCAGGTCAAAAGGGCAAGTCATAGTGATCACAAACATCATAAGAAAAGATGAGCACCACAAAAGTAGGCAAGGTTCCTGCAAAAGTTGGCATTGTCGAGGTAATAAACAAAAACAAGCAGAAGAAAGAGCCAAAGCAGAAAAGAAATGGGAGATGAAATAATACTATTATGAGATGCAAGCTCATCAAGATTCTGTGAAGAGTGAAGCACTCCATTTTTTAAGTAAACATTCAGTGAAAAAAATGTCTCAAGTTGGGACGATTTGTGAAAATCGTATGAATTTTAGGTTTCGATGTGATGGTGATGGTGCCATTCTCCCACCCTGTATGGCAGGCACATGGTAATGTCACCCAAGTCCACTGTTGCAACCTAAGTTTTCATTGGCAAATCCCATCGAAGACAAGAGTACAATTGATTGAACCGTATTTCTAGAAACCCCACGGTGGGTAACTCAAAACACTCTCTAATCTAGAAAAGGGTTGCACACCGGTAGAAAGATTCATATACTATTGCAGATGGAAAAGCAAACTATTGTTCCAAACATGCATGAGGATGCTCATCAGATTAGTGACCTCACTACTTGAACATTGTGTATGTTAATATTCTTACTCCTGAATAATGTTGGCAACAAGCATAGGCTGCATCCAGAGGAAATTCTAATCAGGTCATAAAGAAGACAAATGCCGATCCTTTTGTGACTACGTCAGCATGAGAGAGCATTGAAAGTAGAGTGCCAACATAATCATTCTTATTTAAGCCATGGTTCAAGTTTCACGGTCTCGACCATCGACGCAAAGGGCATTGAGATGGATCAGTCATAGCTTTGCAGAGCAGTAGCAGGTGATACGCACGAAATGCTACTTCAAAAAAATTGAACATGTTCACAACAAAATCACGGAGTCCCAGAACAGTGTCGGTTAATTCAGTGACAACTACTTGAATGACTCCTAATTGACTTGAAGATGTTTCCAACGACTTGACCCAGTAGTGTGAGACTAATGAATTACACGTAACTCGAACTGATATCGAATTGGAAGGTGCCGAGTCAAATACGATTCAACTGAATCATATAGGCATCGGCTCATAATTTGAACTACCAATTGTAAGTAAGGGACTCCTCCTTGACCAGTATACCATGAAAATGGCAGGTTATAGGTCTATTAGTGTTTTTCAGGATAAAACACTAGGATATCTCTCTGTCCCCCCCCCCAAAAAAAAAAAAATAATAATAATAATAAATAAATAATCACAACAACGAAACTTGAAACAAAAGGGCAAAAAAAAAAAGAGCTAACGGATGGCATACAATGCACAAGTGTTGCACCTATGACGGGGTTGAGAAGAGGTAAGTGGTAAGTAGTGTTAGATAAGTAGGTAGTTTCATCTCCATTCATTTTAGAGGGCGGATTCACCCACTCGAACCTATCCACAAATAAGCAAAATCAGAAAGAAAAGATAAAAAAAAATAAGAGCCTCCAAGATGAATCCTCAATTAGGTCAAAGAAGGATTTCTTCTGTCAACAATAACACCATCTGGTCAATTGGGAGAACAAATCAACTCACAAACTTCTAGACCCGTCCATCCTTCTGTTGCTTTTTTTTATATGACATGTATTGGGTTGGTTAACTGGACTAATCCTAGTTGGTTCTTTAGCCCTCCAAAACATGAAAGCACAAGTCTTTTCTAAACCATCACACCCTCCAACACTTTTTTTCCTCCGATTCTCTTCTTGACGGAACATACACCATTAACAACTAAGGATCTATTTTTATGCAATTGGTTCTACATGAATAAATGGTAAGTAATCCATCAAGAATAAAATTGAAACGAAAGTGTATTGGATAGGATATCATTCCTTATGTCCGTTCACATTAGAACGAATATTAAGCACAACTAGAGCCCCATAATGCGATTTCGATTACCTAAATCCAAAATGACCCTTCTCGATTGCTTTTTACGCTACAACAGAACCAGAGTCATGTATCAACATCTTGAATCTAACACTAAAATTCCAAATTAATTCCAGTTCGAGAGAGAGAGAGAGAGGCAATTTACCAGCTGGGGAGATATGATGTCGGGTAACATAGAACGAGAGGCCTTCTTAGCACGCTTGGAAACCTTCTTAAACATGCTGTGTAAGAATCTGAAGAGCAAATCAATACTGCTTTCTGTGTCGTCTTCGTCGCTCTCCTCCTCCTCCTCCATCACTTCTTCTTCATCGAAGAACGCTTCATCAATTCCCACCGCTTCCTTTCCCGTCAAACCATTCAACTGTCAACACAAAGAAAAATCTCTCAATCACTTCTTTGCTGCAACATTCTGAATCTATTCTGTACATCGCACAGTAAAAGAGAGAGAGAGAGAGAGAGGGAAGGGAGATACGTTTCCGTAGCAGATGTGCAGTATGGGGCTTCCATGGCGGCAAGTGGTAAATTGTTGTTGATGAAGTGATGGAATTGGGGATGAAGATAATGTTGGAGATGGTGGGAGTGAGGAGAGGAGTTTGGTAGAGGTGAGAGTGATGAACGGTGAGAATGTTGCTGCCCCCGCCATGTGATTAGAAAGCCAGTTGATTGATTTTGGGCCACCATTTTCCTTTTTCTTGTGTTTAGAATTGCTGTCACGTTAAGTGCATATTGATTAAAATATTGGATTAATTTTATATAAATAAATTAAATATAAAATTAAATATAGAAAAAAAAATAATATCTAATGAATTAAGAGTGAGATAATAGAGTAATAATTACATATTAATAAAAAAATTATCCATCTAATCTAGTTATTTATTTTTTTACTTATTTGTTAGACAAATTAGTAAAATATAATAAAATACAGTTGTATTGTATTATAATAATACGTGTTCAGGTGGTATTGTAATTACTTCAATGGTACGACTATATTGTATTACTTGTGTACCTATTTTATATGTAGACAAAATAACCCTAGATATAATGCAAAATATTTTTGTCAATTAATCGTAATTTAAGATTAAATTAAATAATTTTAATTTGTTATGATTATTTAATTTACCCTTTCCAACATCAAGGTGACACTAGTTAGTGTTTAGTGTGATGTGATTTTTAATATGCTAAACTTAGATACCGTACAACACAATGTCATGTTTATTTGTTATCTTTTTCACATCACTTGAACATTTTTTTTATATAATTAATTATCTTTTATTTGATTTTGTTGGTGCAATGGTTGACTAAGGTGTTTAGTTGATGGTGGGACCCTCTATAATCCATCTAGTTGAGGGAGAAAAAATTGCATATTATGTGTATATATTTCACTTGATGGATCAATTCAAACACGAACCATCATATTTATTTTATATTAAGATATCTAATTCTTAACTGGATTTGATTAAAGTCAAGTTGTAATCATTAAAAATATGAAAAGATAAAGACTTGAGACACATTACACAAACACCATTTGATTATCCCTCTAGTCGTCGAACTCAAACCTAAGCACTTGTGTGCCCACTAAACTACAATGTAGCCAAATACAATGGATTTTTATAGTATTTTTTCACATAATTTTTTTAAATATCTTTGCGAGTTTTAATTATTTTATTATTACAACAATAACTCTGTATATCATAGTTAATGGTGTCATGCGTTTGCTACATGTCATATAATTGACAAATGCAATCATATCTTGTCCATTTTTTTAATAAAATTCTTTTTTTTTCCTTAAAAAAAATGAGTAAATCTCACTTGACACCCTCAATAAAATAGTTTGATTTTTAATTTATACCCACAAATATTAAAATTTTTAGTTTATATCCTTAATGTTATGATTTGATAGCAATCTGAACCTGGTCCAAATTACCGTTCAGAATTTTATTTTCTTATAAATTTCCCAGTCAAAATATTCTACATTCTAATACACCTTTAACTTTCAAAATTGTTCAAATTTTCACTTTTCTTTTGTTTTCTAACTTTGCATCCTTTTTTTTTTTTTAATGTTAACCTTATTCAGTTACATTAAACGGATTAGGGGCAAAAATTCAAATAGAGACACTGAGGTAGGAGAAAACAAAGTTTCCTTCATAACCCAGAATGTTGGCCAGTGTCGTACAGTCCAATAAAAACATCTACAACCACACTCAACAAAATAATTATTCAAAATGTATTTAAATATTAAATTATCTGCTTTAACTAACTACTTTTTAAAATTCATTCAAACCACGCTCTCTATTTTATCTAACTAATTTTAACTAACTTTTCAATAAATATAATTTAAAAATGTCACATGACGTAACACGTAAACGTCATAATGATGACGAAGCATGATGACACGTTGTGTCATGTCATCAAATTTTTAAATTTTAAATTTTACAACGGTCATATTTTTTAAAATGTATAAACAAGAACTGTCTCTTATCATTGTCATATATCTCAAATTTATTTTATTGGTATTGAACTCAAATTTCTTTGCTATGGCTCGTGATGGTAAATTGAAGATGATTCTTAATGATTTTGACTCCAATGATGAGGTGGAGATGTTAACAGTTAATGCTATGAAAATGGAGAAACTCAATACTGACAACAGCTCCGCAATATGTCATGATTCTATTCAATATCATTCTATTATTTTTCTCAATCAAGTTGAAGGGCATAAGAGACTTATCGTGATTATTTTGCTAAATCGCCTACCTATCTCCTAAATTTATTTAGGATGAAGTTTCGCATGAATCGATCTCTTTTCGTTTATATTTTATCCATGGTGGAAGTTTTTGATCCATACTTTGTTTAAAAAAAGGATGTTGTTGGAAATATTGACTTGTCTCCCCTTCAAAAGATAATTGTCGTTATAAGAATTCTTATCTATAGAGTTGTAGCAGATGTTGTTGATAATTATGTAAGGATTAACGAAAGCACCACAATAAAAAAATCTGCAAAAATTTGTATCGATCATAGTAACAATTTATGTTAATGAGTATCTCAAGTCACCAAACAACGCAAGCATTGTTAGATTATTAGTAATCGGTAAGAGACGTGGGTTTCCTGAGATGGTAGGTAGCATTGACTGCATGCATTGGAGATGAAAAAATTGTTCAACAACATGAAAATGTATGTATTTTGGTCATATTCATGAACCAACAATTATTTTAAAGGCGATGACTTTATATGATCTATGGATTTAACGTGTTTTTTTTGGATTATCTAAATCTCACAATGATATAAATGTACTAGTACGCTCTTTTGTTTTTACTCTTTTTTCGGAAGGTAGGACTCATTCGGTCAATTACTCCGTCAATAGAAATGATTATACAATGAGATATTATCTTGCTGATGGTTTATATTCAAAGTGGGTCACGTTTGTCAAAATAATTTCATTTCCAAGAGACAATAAGCAAATAAATTTTGCACAAACTCAAAAGTCAGTTAGAAAGGATGTTGAGGAGCTTTTGGAGTGTTCCAAGCTCGATTTGCTATAGTTGGTGGACTTGCACGTTTCTAAAAATTTGAAGTGTTTAAGGATATTATAAAGGCATGTATAATATTGCATAACATGATTGTCGAGGATGAGAGAGACAGTAATGAAATAAACTTTAGTTATGATGCATCAGATGAAATTCCTACTCTTACATTGATATTTGAACAAAGTTCAGAACTGCTTCAATTTATTCATACCCAATATCGCATTCGAAACAGAAACACTCATTTGAGACTCCAAATTGATCTGGTAGAACATCTGTGGATTATGCATGTAATGTTTTAGACAGTAATATGCTATAAAATTTTCTACAAAAATTTAAATATTCATTGTCTACGAATATTTATGCATGCATAATATTGCAGTACTTGTTTGTTGTATTATTACTCAAAAATTGTTGGTCTATAAAAATTTTGAATTTATAACTCTTCTCTATCTCGATCGTGCTACCACCGAAGTTCTTTCAAACATCACGGTGACACTAGTTAGTAGTGGAAACCAGTGTTTAGTGTGATGTGATTTTTAATATGCTAAACTTATTTAATAGATACTATACAACACAATGTCATGTTTATTTGGTATCATTTTCACATCACTTGAACATTTTTTAATATAATTAATTATCTTTTATTTGATTTTGTTGGTGCAATGGTTGACTAAGGTGTTTAGTTGATGATGGGACCCTCTATAATCTATCTAGTTGAGGGAGAAAAAATTGCATATTATGTGTTTATATTTCATGCACTATATGAACCAATTCAGACACGACACAAATTATAGAACTATCATATTTATATTACATTAAGATATCTAATACTTAATTGGATTTGATTAAAGTCAAGTTTGTAATTATCAAAAATATGAAAAGATAAAGACTTGAGATACGACACAAACACTATTTGACTATCGCTCTAGTTGTCCAACTCAAGCCTAAGCACTTGTGTGCCCACTAAACTACAATGTAGCCGAATACAATGGATTTTTTAAGCTACTATTTCATATCTTTTTTTAAAATTTCTTTGTGAGTTTTAATTATTATATTCTTACAATAATAATTCTGTATATCATAATTAATGGTGTCATGCGTTTGCTACATGTCATATACTTGACAAATACAATCATATCTTGTCCATTTTTTAATAAATTTTTGTTTTCCTTAAAAAAATTAGTAAATCTCACTTGACACCCTCAATAAGATATTTCAATTTTTAATTTATACCATCAAATATTAAAATTTTTAATTTATATCCTTAATGTTATAATTTGATAGCAATCTCAATCTGATCCAGACTACCGTTCAGAATTTTATTTTCTTATAAATTTCCCTATCAAAATATTCTACATTCTAATACCCCTTTAACTTTCAAAATTGTTCAAATTTTCACTTTTTTCTTTTGTTTTCTAACTTTGCACCCCTTTTTTTTTGGGTTATGCTCTGTTTGGTAGGGTGGATGGAAAGTATGAGAGATACACTTTCAATCCTTCAAGTATGAAAAGTAGAAAGGATACACTTTCCTTCTTTTGTGTTTGGTTGGATGGATGAAAAATAATAATAACTAATTTTTTTTTAGTGCGGGCTAAAATTATGGATGACAATCAAATCGTATCATGTTTGATTTGTGTTGAGTCATCTACGAATTTTTGTTAAATATTGGTCAAACCTAATTTAATTCATTTAATTAATTGTGTCGTGTCGAGTTGCGAATTGACCTGTTTATTTTCGTATTGAGTTTGAGTTGTGTCATCGTATTGAGTCGAAATTTTTCACCCTTAGTTAAAAAGGTAAATTTTTTTTTTTAATTTCAAAATTTTAATTTTAAATTTTTATTATTTTTATTTATATATATATATATATATATGTTTATATAATAAAATAACTTACAATTAAAATTTCAAAAGATAAACAAAATAACTTTTGTTATTCGCGGTTGAGATCGCTTTAAATTTTACTTTAAAGTTAATCTAACGACTAATATTAAAATTTCAAATTTAATAAGAAAAAATTAGTCCCTAAGGATGTGTTTAGAGTAATTTTTTAAAAGTGTTTATAGGAATTAATTCTCATAAGTACATTAAAAAAATATATATTGTTTTGAACCGTTCCACCACCACCCCCAACCACCGCCGCCACCGCCACTGCCACCGTCGTCGTTGCCCCCCCTCACCACTGTCATCACCACCCCCACCTCCACTACCTCCACCACTGCCACTACCACCACCACCATCACTACCACTGCCACCACCACCACCACCACTACCACTGCCACCACCACTACCGCCACCACCACCGCTGTTCCCACCACCACCACCGTCGTCGCTGCCCCGTCATCACCACCGTCGCCACCACCCTCACAATCGCCACCACCCCTACCTCCACTACCACTGTTGCCACCACCACCGTCGCAACCACCATCGTCGCCACCCCCACCGCTGCTCCCACCACCACCACCACCACCGTCGTCGCCGCCATTACCGCCACTACTATTGCCCACTATCTCTTACTCCCACTACAAATCGATGTTTAAATTCTTTTATTTTTTCTCTATATTTGCGAATTGATTTTAGATATGAATACAAATATATTTATTGTTTACCATTTTTTATTACTCTGTGCCTTCAGGCACAAACAATAACTAATAGACAAATAAGATACATCTCAACACAAATAATTAACTTTTCATCTATTTTCCTTCTGATTTTTTAGAGATTGATTTTGGTGAGTTGGAAGGAAAGTTAATCCATAAACTTTTTCATCATTCCTGTTTTTCTTCCTTACCAAACATGATATTTTATTTATCCTTTCAACTTTTCATTCACTAACTTTTTCATCGTACCAAACGGAGCATTAACCTTATTCAGTACTTTAAACGGATTAGGGGCAAAAATTCAAACAGAGATACTGAAATAGGTGAAAACAAATTTTCTTCCATAACCCAGAATGTTGGCCGGTGTCATATAGTCCAATAACAGGTGGAGGTAAATATTGAGCTTGTATAAGATAACAGGTGACGGGGGACACAAGGTGCCACAACACATAGTTATCGGGACTCACAAGTTGATTTTTTAAATCATTTATTAAATATTTTTATTTTAAATCAGTAATAAATAATTACAATAATTAATTAAATTTATATTTTAAATTCATGTAAGGTTGTTCATAAAACATCCCAGTCCCAAAATTTCGGAGGCCAGTTCATAATCTGCGAGTCGTTACCCGTCACATCTTCACTACCCGAAATTTAACTCCCCACTTAGTCCACAAAACCGGTCAGCCGTCGGAGAATATTCTCCCACACGACGTCGTCTCGTTGATTGCCCTTCACCACATGCAGTTCTACGAATAAACTTCTTTCATTACACCCATTGAATCCCGCCGCTTTCTGTCGCGCGTTGTGTACAAACAAGTCAAACTCCAAATCCAGAATTTGTTATAAATCACATATTTTGTAAATGAATGGGCTCAGCATAGCATAATTAATAAATAATTTTTTTTAAATTAATAAAAAATATAATATGACTCGTTTATATATCGTTTTTATACAATTTATATATAATAATACGAAACCTATATGATATGTCTCATTGAATATAAATTAATAAATTAATTGAATATGAATAAAATATTTTTTTGTATGAATCCGTCAAGACCCAACATGAACTACATCGTTCGATACGATTAACATACCTGTTTACTTCAATAAACTCTTTTCTAAAAAGATAACATAATATATACTTAGCTTTAAAGTATTCATGTAGCATCTTAAAAGTATTAATAGCATATATCTATCATTTTTTAAATATATATCTCGAGTATCTTTGCCATATTATAAATATACTCAAAGAAAAATTTAAATTATACTCTTTATAGTTTACTATATTTTTAAGGAAACCCTTCTATTATTAAGAATATTATTGACTCCCTTTTTAATTTATATTTAAACATCATTGATACCTTTTACCATTAAACCACCATTTATAATAAAAAAATTCATCTAAGATACAAAAAATGCCCCCACATAAATCACAAATAATATTTTTATATAAAATTCTATTAAAATTCAAGCGAATTAAATTTTATTTTTTTACGTGTTAAAAATCTAGCTGATTTGAGCTCTACCTGAATTTTTAGCGTTGATTGAAATTTTCTTCAGGTCAATTAAAATTTATATTTTTTTATTTATTAAAGTTTCTGCTAATTAAAATTTGATTTAAGTAGATTAAAATTTATTTTTTATATATTAAAATTTGAGTAGATTAAAATTTATATGTTTTATGTATCAAAATTCGGTACAATTAAAATTCAATGCGAATTGATTAAAATTTGATTTGAATCGACTAAAAATGAATTTTAAACGACTCAAATAGAATTTTAATCGATTTAAATTTTAATACGTAAAAAATATAATTTTTTTATCAACTCGAATTTTAATACGTGAAAAATAAATTTTAATTAACTAAAATAGAATTTTAATACTTAAAAAAATTTAGAAAATAAAATAGGTCTCATTGACGATATGCCCCTCTAGAGAGTTTGTAGATAAAGTTTTTTTTCAAATATATCATAGATAATTTAATAAAATTATATTAAAATTAACATTTTTAATCTAACTGGGGTGAGTAAAAATTCAAAGCATAGAGAAGTGTTTTTGAAAATATCATAAACTAAAAAAAGATGTGACTAAAATTTTATCTATATTGTAAAGATAGATTTCCTAAATTCGATTTTTGGTCAACCCACGCGCAGATGAGTAACATTTGATCCGACATATTGGTAGCACTATAATAAATACACAGAAAATGTTATTTGAATATAATCTAGGATTTAATTCAATACAATCATTAAATTGATTATGAGCTTCATTTAATATTGAAACTCATAATTAATTCAATAATTACATTAAAATTACATCATTAGATCCCAAAATAAATTTCTCATTGCTCTAAATACACCGATCCACGCGTTACATAGGGCGTGGCACCTTTTCCCATACAGGTTGATTTAGCGCAGGTAGTAGAAATCTTAACGCGGGCTTATAATCGTCGGAGGCCATCATATAAAAGACGAAGAGGGCAAAGAACAAAGCCCCTCCGTCTTTTCAAATTCATCTAAGATTTCTTCGTTCCACTACACAGAAATTGAACATAAAATAGGAAAGACGACACGAGATCGAATATTTTTCTCTGCAAATCGTAGAAGATCTTGTTGATTTTGTTTGTTTGTTCGGTCCGGCTCGATCTGACGGATTGTCGGAGAAAATGTCCGGATGGAGGGGATCTAGATCAAGCTTAGCTGGGCCCGGTTCTCCGTTGTCGGACCGTGTCTCCACGTCTCGAACCGTTCGACTCGGCGGTGTCCAGCCTCAGGCTCCTGGTCACCGCACCATCTTCTGCAATGATCGCGAAGCCAACTTCTTGACCAAATTCGAGGTCCGTTTGGTCATGCTTCGTATTGTTTTGCTTTTCTCTTCAACATCACTTATAAGTACACACTTGCATATGTTTAATTGAAGAGGAACAATAATACTTTTTTAATTTTCATTTTTATGTAGTTGATGATGAATTTAATGGAAATTTGGGTTTAGGGATTTGGCGTTGTTTATTAAATTAAAACTGAGTTTGATTTCAAGATTTATGGAGGTCTCAATTTATGCTCAGTGGTGAAGCGTAATGATTGATAATGAGTTGCAATGATTGGAGTATGACAGAGTAAATATAAGCAGCCCCAACCCATTCCACTTGCTTGCTCTTGTTGTTTTTATAAGAGGAAGAAAGATGGTTCGGTGAGTTCAAGATAGCGTGATTTTATTTATGGATTGGAGGGAAGAGGAAGTACCTTTTAATGTTGTTTTTGGGTAGTGCAATCTTTCTCTCTCTCTTTTTTTTAAAAAAAAAAAAGGAGATATTGACTTTGGAGAACATAATTTCTAAGGTGAACATTATCCCAAATTGGTGCCGCATGTGTAAGAGAGCAAACAGTCAATCACCTTCTGCTCCACTGCAGGGTGCTGATGGAGGTGTGGGACCTCCTTTTTTCCCTTTCCTGTAATGCCTTGGTTAAGCCTATTCAGTTATGGGTTTACATCAGGCTTGGTCTGGTACTGGGAGAAGTTTTTTTTTTTCTGGAAGGTGGTACTGGGAGAGGTTATTGCAGGTAAGATGTTTGGGATGCTGCCCCCTTGATTTTTTTCATTGCATCTAGAAGGAAAGAAATTATAGGTCGTTAGAGGGTGAGGAGTGACTGATGTTTAAAATCAAAACATGCTTTCCTGACCATATTGGTTTTGTGGGTATCAGGTTGTCTCGGTCAGTGGATTTTTTTGTAGGGGACATACAGAATTTTTTTTTCATGACCTTTTTGGAGGGTTTTTTTTTGGGGAAAACTCGTAGTGCATGTGAATCTGATAGGCATAAAGTGGCGGGCTGGAAGGCGATGTGGTGTATGGCTAACAAGGGGAATAACAATTATTGTACAACCAAACTACACCTCCAAAAGATCCATTAATGAGAACTAAAATGGGTGTTTTTTTTTTTTATCACTCATTGTACCATCTGGGCTACTTACTGTTCAATGGTACAGTGGTCTGAGAAACTTCTACATATTTGTCTGCTTGTATATATGATGTTCAACAGTTGCTTATTTCTAACAAACCAAGAGCCTATAAATTGGCCATGCTAAACAACACAGGATGTGCACATTGGTAGTTTACATGTGCAATTTTGCTTGATAGCACATAATTACAGAAAAAAGAAATAAAAAATCTATATGGTTAATAAGAAATTGAGTGTCTTGTCATGTTTGGAACTTCAGACTTGAGAGTAATCTGTTAATTGCTGTGTGAGAGGAAGTTTTGAAGTTATGCTTAGAAGAGACAATATGGTTTGTTGTACTTAGAAAAGTTAGATCCATTTATACTTGGCTTCACTTTATTTTGTCACTTCCTACCTGTTTTACTTTGGATGAATCTTGTTTTAATTTGTTGGGGATTAATCCTTTCAGGGTAATTCTGTATCAACTACAAAGTATGACATTCTTACTTTTTTACCAAAGGGATTGTTTGAACAGGTAAATTGGTTCTACACCTCTCAGCTATAAGTACAATTAAGTAGATTTGTTGCTATTGGTCTTGTGTGCCTTATGATGGAGCCAATATGCTGGTGTCAATATGCCTGAAAGATCCTGTTTGTTCAGTTCTAACTCCTATTCCTTGCTATATGTGTTTGGGCTGGGTCAGAGGTGAGGATAGACTATCCATTTGATTGTTATCTCTTTTTCCCCAATATATTTGCAGGGCGTCTCTAGGTTATAGGCATAGTTGCCAGTAACCCAGTCCCCATTCTTTCATTTTCTTTGTGCAAAACCTGTTTGGAGCTAGGATGAAACTTCTGAGAAGTTTAATTTGGTGAAAACCTTTTGGACACTTAAGAGCCCCCCAAAAAATCATATTTACAAAACACATTTGGAAATACATCCTCAACTTCTTGTGGTTTTTTTTTTTGGAGTGGAGTATGCCTACAAAACTTGTAAAAACTAAATCTGCATTTCATTGTTCATATGTTTCTTCGGATTAGTCCTATAATAGATTATTGAAATTTGAAAGTGTTTTGGGTTGGTTGTCAAGATTACGTGTTGGTTCCTCATGCTTGATGCAACTTGAATCCAATTTAACGCAATAGTTTTGCTAACCCGATATGTTTACAGTTTTTATCTGAAGAATATTTTCTTTGACAGTTCCATCGGGTAGCCAACTTCTACTTCCTTGTGATCTCTGTTATATCGTGCACTCCAGTCAGGTAACAATTCATAGTAAATATCAGTATTTTGTATTAAGGCATGGTTGATTGAAATGAGCTTACGTCTTTGTTAGAGCAGTCTTATCTTTTATCTGATTGGCCAGTTTATCTGGTACACCATGCCAATATAGTTTTTATGATATGTGGTTGCAATATAATGGGCTGAAGGGGTGGCTCCGTGCTGTTAATCAGATAACAAATTAATTGTTGCCAGTATTAACATAATGTGTAGCCAGTGGGAAAACACTTGCACAGAAAATGTGCCATGCCTCCAAGGTGGATTAGAGCACGTTTGAAGTGTGATATTGTTGTTTAGGTTTCATATGATATTTTTTTGCATGTTGCCTTTTTGTTTTTTCAGAAAAAAAGAGTTCTTCATTTTTCCATGAGCTGAATTTACTCATCTGTTATTACTTGAAGCACTTATTGATTAATAGGAATCTTTTTCTATGGTTTTGTGGAATCACTCTGATTACATAAGGCTGAAATAGTTGACGACATGAATTTTTTTAGGTCCTTTATTGTTGCTCTTCTGGTAGGTCTTTCTTCTATGTATGCCTGTTACTTTATGTTAAAATTATATATATGCTTATTCACTGCTGCTTTTCTTCTTTCTAATGCACACTTTCCCAAGTATGAACATTCACTTTCTGCATTCATATCCTGCTCTTGTTTTCACATTTTGATTTTGGATATATTAACACTTGTATGAGGGCTAATGATCTTTAAGAGTTCTAAGGAACTATTTTTTGATTTCTTTTGCATCTGCTCCTGAAAAAGTTTTCATTTCATGCAGTCCTGTAAGTCCAGTTACGAATGTAGTCCCTTTGTGTCTGGTGCTTCTCGTTTCTCTTATCAAGGAGGCGTGGGAGGACTGGGTGAGTAAGATTAGCTCATACATTTTCAGATACTAGTGACCATCTATTTCTTTAGGCAATGATTACAAGAAAATACTTCATTGAATTTCATTATTGGTTAACTTACGTCCTGGATTTATTCAAATTTATCTCAATTAGACTATGGATGTCTGGAAAAATTGCTTACACCTCTTACTTGTGTTCTCCCCCTTCCCCAAATTATTTGTTACAGAAGCGTTTTCAAAATGATATGGCAATCAATAATTCTTCTATAGACGTGTTGCAAGATCAGAAGTGGGAAGCTGTGCCCTGGAAGAAGCTGCAGGTTGGAGATATTGTCAGAGTACGTATGTTTTTTTTTTCCTTTAACATTGATTTGCTTTTTAGGATTATATTATTAGCCTCTTGATGTCCACAAAATTCCTCTAGTATCCATGAATGTCATCTTGGTGATGCATTATCAATCAACCTCCTTCCATGTCTTTGGGCCTTACAGTTTGCAGCTGCTGCTGTTGTCATAGGGATTTTTTTATTTATGTAAGCATTCTTCAATTTTTTTATGATTAAAGCTAAATATGATGCAGACTAATGCAAATTTTTGTTTCTTCAATTGGCTGGTTGGTTAGGTTGTCTTTTTGCTTTAAGTCTATTGTATGCCAATGAGCACTCTTATTTCCATGGCATGACTTTTCATTTGCACAATTACTTTACACTATTAACGATGACAATTTCACCCCCACATATTATCCAATTGATGCTACGTAATATTCAAATTTTTTCATCCTCTCGTGCATTTCATATGTGTCCTAACGCACAAAATTCTCGCCACTTCTGATTTTGGGGAGGGTTAGACATTGCAGCCTTACCAGACATACAAGGGCGAAGCCACCCATGGGCTATGTGCCCACCTGTAAGTTTTTTTTTTTGATATTAGATATGTATTTTTTGAAATAAAATTTAGACATATTTAATTGTGCCCACTCTATTATTTTGTTCCGGTGATATCGATTTGGGAAGACTCCTCCCGTATTCGGGATTGGACGAAGGCCTTAAATCAGTAGGGCAATATCATAACTATTATTGACCTGACCCCTATCACTTAAAGACAGTCCTACGTTTTTCAATATACGAGGCCGGAAACGGCTGTCCCTATTTTCTTTATTTTAGATGGAGTCATCAATAGAGCCAAGAGTTTGACCTGGCATTATGAGCCAAATACAAGAAGCAAAGCTTTGTAGACTCGACAAGTCGCTTATAGAATGCCGACCACTACATAAGCCGCTGGTGGAGAAAGCTGTTCAAGCTTCTGGCTCCACCCTTGTGTAGAGAAGTTGTTTTCCATAAGTGCATTCATATTTATCCTTGCTAATAATGATGGTGCTAGAAGTCCTTGTGTGGGGCTTTGTGATTGGCTAGCAGTCCTTGTGTCGGGAGTTATTTCATTGAAATTTTTTTGAGGAATTCATGAAATTTGCCACTTTGTGTGACAGGAAGTAAAAGCTCCTCTTTGATGCACACTTTCTAGAATCATTGTCTTCATATTTTCTAGGTGCAAAGTGTGCCTATCCCTTTGTCCAATGCCTTGCCCACACATACATTTTGTAGTGACTCAGCTATGCGCAAATTGAAAGAGTGAAAGGAGGCAGTGAGGTTCGTGTGACTGGTCATGGTTGTCTGTCTCTCGCTCATAACGCCCCCCCACCCTCCCCCAAAAAAAAAAAAAACAACAAAATGGTGACATGATTCTATAAACTGGTGGCCCATTTGGGATGTAAGTTTTTCTTTCTTAATCCTTATTTGGGGTTGCTATTGGGATCTTCCGTCCATGCTACTTAAGGTTTTTTGGTGGAGATGTTTGAAAAAAGATGCGGAAACAACCCCTGTTCGGGGCTGTAAGATTGCGTACTTGTGACCCTCCCTAAGCTCCACAATGGTTGGAGTTTCATGCACCATCTTTTTTATTGAGGTTTGAAAAGAGATTATGTAAGCCGGATGAGGTTGTATTTCGGCTGTAAGACTGTGTACTTGTGATCCTCCCTAAGCTCCACAATGGTTGGAGTTTCATGCACCATCTTTTTTTTTAGAGGTTTGAAAAGAGATTATGTAAGCTGGATGAGGTTGTACTTCTTTAAAGGTGGCATACCCACCTTTATAAAAGAACACCCTTTTTAGCTGTTCAGTGTAATTTGTCTCCCATGGTATATGCCTGCCAGCATCCTGCATTGGCAAGCAGCAAGCCTAACATTGGATAATTTTTTTTTTCATTTGGGTCCTCAGACCAACATTATTGCTCCTGGAAAGGATTCTGTGGATGATATCTCCTGTGGTGTACGCCTGTCAGCTCCTTGTATAGGCAGGCCTAACATCAACTGATTGCTGACTGTCTGATAGTCAACCTGGAGTTTCGTCGATCTATTGTCACTTATCTGTAGAAAGAAAGCTTGTTAAAGAGAGAAGATAAGGAAGGAATAGATAGCTCTAACAAGTCTCGATAAGAAAGCTTAATCAAGCCTTCCGCGATATCTGTAGTTCATTTCAGTTTCAGTAGTTGAAGTATTCAATGCGATATCTGTGTATTTGGACTTTTGGTCCCCAACCACTGTTGTTGCTTCCGCTCCCACAAGAGTTTCCTGGATGATATTGATCTGGTGTATATATGCTTCTGGAAATGCAGAGAGGAAAAAAATATACAACAATTCCCTTTGTACTTCTTTTGTTTTCTAGGAGTATATGTTGGCCAACAGCATTGCACAGACCAAAAAGAGGCAAAGCTAAGTTTCAATTTCAGTGCCTAAATTGCTCTAAAGTAATAGATTTCTTCATTGGTTTCCAGTTCTCTCATAATTGCTAGGGATTTTATTTTGTCTGTTCATTTATTCATTCTTCGCCACTTAAGGGATTTGTAGTTCTATAAAGCTGAACATATTGCTCTGTTTGCAGGTTAAGCAGGATGGATTCTTTCCTGCAGATCTGCTATTCCTTGCTAGCACGAACCCAGATGGTGTCTGCTACGTTGAGGTCTCTCATTTGCACTTTGACTTGTCTGAAGAATCCTTCTTTTTTTCCCCCTATTTTTGTTTAATGGGGGACAAGAGGGATGAGCATGGATGTGTTAAAAAGAGCAAAGTTTCATTTTGATGATATCTATTTTTGTGTTTTTCTTTTCTTGTGTTCATTCTCCTCTCCCTCCCTCTCCATCTCTTTATATATATACACATATGTGTATACTAATTCCCTTTTCCTGTTGTATCACAGACTGCAAATCTGGATGGTGAAACAAATTTAAAGATCAGAAAAGCATTAGAAAAGACCTGGGACTTTGTGACTCCTGAGAAAGTATCAGATTTCAAAGGTTTTGCCTTTCTGTAGATCTACTGATTAGCCTTGTGCTATTGGACCATAGTATGCTGTTATTTACCCTCCTGGCATTAAAGAGCACCTATATAGATGTCCCATTTTGACCACGGTCACATAAAAAACAACATAAGCCTAATCAGCCATTGGACCCCTTTTTCTTCTTTTCTTGTACCCATTTTCCCCCTCCCAAAGCATCAAACCTTTGGCATTCTCACCTCAAAACAGCATAGATTCCTCAAGGAAACTCACATTCTATCATATTGACATTCTTTTTTCTTTACTAGTCAAAAAGATTTTTGTTTTCTTTCTATAATTTCTCGGTGGTTTCCTTCGAAGTTGAGATAATCAGAAGTTATGAACAATTCGTTGTTCCGCATGAGATATAATTCTCCATCTATGCTTTATTTTTGTAATCAACTAATTCAACTTGTGACTTAAAGAAGATAGTGTTTTCCTGTTCGAAATAAAATTTGACTTTTGGAGTTCAATTTTAATTTATTTGTCAAATGAATAGTGTAATTGGTTTTCACCTATGAAAAAAAATGCATAGTCTGTTTTACTGGGCTGATGGACACCCATGAGCATGGGATATGGGACAAGCTCTAACATGCAAGTATGATTTTTGTTCATAGAGTCAAAATTTGTTTGTAGGAAGCTAGTTAATATTGGTGGAGGTGTTCTGATTTCTGAGGGGGAAGTCATGATAGCAATGTGGTTGAACTAATACTCCCCAGTAAGAGTAGAATGGTGAAACACGATTAAAATAGCCGCTTAAAATGGTGGGGGGCAAGGCCTTTTTGAGTTTTATAGAGTCGGAAAAACTTGGATAATATCTAGCTGACTAGTGTTCATCGTCATGATGCATGCATATGGATACCATGGTTTCCTTCTTTTCTCATTTCTTGTTCTGATGGGGATTCTTTAATTAATTGCAGGCGAAGTACAATGTGAGCAACCAAACAATTCATTGTATACTTTCACTGGCAATCTCATAATCCAAAATCAGACCTTACCTCTCAGTCCAAATCTAATGCTGTTGCGAGTATGACATCCCATATTCTTCTTCTTCTCCTTCTCTATTAGCGTTTACTTTAGTTCTTTAATCCGCTAAACCAGCTTTTCATGTGCTTATAAACATCTAATTGCTTGAATATTATTTTGGTGTATGTTTGTTTGAGTTGGCTATATCTTTTTTTTTCCCCCTAGGATGGACACTAAATCCATTTTTCTAATATGATTGCTTATTGGAGTTTTAAGTTCACTTTTACTCATCTATGGTTGGTTTTAATGTTTCCAGGGATGCAGTCTCAAGAACACCGAGTACATAGTTGGCACTGCCATTTTTACTGGGCATGAAACAAAGGTTTTCTTTCATCATAATAATGGTTTTATTTAGTGCTGTCATTTAACTAGAATTTACTGGATCATTTTTTTACTTGAGATTAGGTCCCAGAAACATTTATAGAGGACTAATATGCTGCATTAATGTATTTGGTTTGATCTTTCTGGCTTTGGACCTGTTTCTTGCTTCATGTCTTCAACTCACTTTTATTATGGTTCCCTTGATTTAATTGCAGGTTATGATGAATGCCATGAAGATTCCTTCCAAAAGAAGTACTTTGGAGAAGAAACTTGACAAACTTATACTCACTCTTGTTAGTGTTCTCTTCTGTATGTGTCTCTTGGGCGCCATAGGCAGGTTTGACTATTGGATAGTGTCTTTTCCAGTTTATAACTCTAGCATAGTTGATCCTCTTTGAACTTAATAGTCTCTGTCCATTATTAACTCTATGATGCATATGACTTGGAACCATCAGGGATACTTAGTTCTCTCTATTACTTTATAATTGAAAAAATTGAATCCTTTTAGACTATTATCTATTAAAATTGAAAATAATGTGCGTATATGTATATCTATTTCATGTTAATTATGAGAAAAATTAATTTATTGATGATAAACTAATACTTTGGATGTTTTCTTGTAATTAAGATGACATATAATGAGTGTGTTTGTGGAATAAAGTCCATTATTCTCGAGAACATGCAATCATTTTTTTCCCAGCTGTCAAAATTGTATAGAACAGAGCAATCATTTCAGTGATGAAAATTACGTGGAAAGTAAACTTTTTTAATTCTATCGATTGATATTATTTGGTTTTCCAAGATTATTGTTACTAGATGTTTTGGTTGTATTGTGGAATTTCCACATTTCTTTGTAAATTGGGCCTTATAATTATGTGTTTTGTGCTACTTGAAATTCTGCAGTGGAATATTTGTGAACCGGAAGTATTACTATTTGCAGTTTGCTGAAAGTGATGCACAGTTTAATCCCAGTAATAGATTTTTGGTAATCAAAGGAATCCCCTGAAATAAGTTCATTTTCGTTTGTTTTTGCTTTTTCCTTTTTTTTTGTTAACCCATTGATTCTTTTTTTTTTTGCTTGTACAGGTGACTGCTTTGAATATGTTTACACTAATTACCCTTTATTCACCAATTATCCCCATCTCCCTCTATGTTTCCATTGAGGTACATGCAAGAACAGTTCATTTATCTGTTGCATCGAGCTGTGCATAACTTTAGTTCGAGGGTTCAGTTCCATTTATTTTCCACAGATGATCAAATTTATTCAGTCCACCCAATTTATCAACAATGATTTGTGCATGTACCATGTTGAAACCAATACTCCTGCGTCAGCACGGACTTCCAATTTGAATGAGGAACTTGGACAGGTAAAAACAATGCCTTTGTTGACTTCCTCTTATATAGTGCTTCTGAAACATCTGCTGTTACAATTTTACATATTGGATAAAACTTTGGAGGGCTTTATGATATCCCTGTTCTAATTTACTTCTAGGTGGCTACTTGTCAAAATCAGCTTGTGCAAGTTCACAGTAAATTTCTTCTTTGATAGGTGGAATACATATTTTCTGATAAAACTGGAACTCTAACAAGAAATATGATGGAGTTCTTTAAGTGTTCAATTGGAGGAGAAGCATATGGCACTGGTGTCAGTGAGATTGAGATGGGAACAGCACAGCGAAATGGCATAAAGTTTGAGGTAAATTTAGCAATCATTAGAGCATCTCCAATAGTACTCTTTATTTTAGAGAGCATTTTTTTTTGAAAGAGAGAATCTTTGATAAAATTTTTAAATAGTGAGTGAAATATTTTTGACAACTGCCATGGGATTCTCTATTAGAGAAAAAAATAGTCGTAATAGTCAATAACATTTACTGAAGAATGTATATGCGTCACCTTGTCATTCATTAAAAATAGAATAGAGAGTGAGTTGGACTCTTCAAATGTAGAGAGCCAAATAAGGCTCTCTATTTTAGCTAAGTCTAAATAGAGAGCTTATTGGAGCTTTATTTTTTGTGGGTGACTCTCTAAAATAGAGAGTTGAGCAAGAATAGACAGCCTATTGGAGATGCTCACCTTGTAGAAAGATATAGTTCGATTTGTAACTCTGGATTATTTAATGATATTATATTCTCATAGGTTCACAAATCATCAAACACTGTGCGCGACAAGGGTTTTAACTTTGATGATGCTCGACTTCTTCGAGGTGCTTGGAGGAACGAACCTAATCCTGAAACATGCCAGGTAGATTTATTTTAACTATGAGAATATAATGAGCTGATCATATTCTAGTACAAGATTAAGAGCTGTTAATTTAGTGAAGATTTCATTTATGTGGTTGTGTTGTTTGCTAGATAGCAGCTCTGGAACTGTTTGTTTGTGTTTTGTATGTGTGATGCAGCATTTGTTCTTATTCTCTAATTTTCCTTTTACTGTGTTGACTGAACCTTTATACTTGTTCTGAGAACAGGGGGGTGTGTGTTTGTGTGTGACTATTGTTCTTATTCTCAGTTTCTGTATGTTTCCAAGAAATAAAAGATCACAAATTTCCCATCTATCTATTTTACCGTAGGATAACATATTTGTCATTTTTGTTTCTCATGGTTAATATTGGCTACTGCTTGACTAGTGTAATGTATCATACATCAGGTTTTCCCTTTTTTTTTTTCTTTTTGATGTATCAATCATCAAATCTTCAATATCGATTTGATAAACAGGTGTTATATGAGTCTTGTAAATGTGAGAGATGTTTAAATTGAAAATCATTCTAGTTGTGGTTGGATATATTCGGGTGGGCGGATTGCAACCTTTTACATGGTTTTGTATGCTGGCTGATGCCTGGCATATGCACATTTCACAAACTTGGTCTGGTTTCTTGATTTGTCAACCATCATATGTACGATAGTGAAAAATTTTGTTTTTTTGTGTAGGAATTCTTTAGGTGCCTTGCCATTTGTCATACTGTACTTCCTGAAGGTGATGAGTCCCCTGAAAAAATTCAATATCAAGCTGCATCTCCTGATGAGGCTGCTTTGGTTACAGCAGCAAAAAACTTTGGCTTCTTCTTCTACAGGTATGTGCTCCTGAATAGTGTGTTTGGTATGATGAAAAATAGGTGGATGGAAAATGGTTGGATAGAAAATAGGAGGGAATGGAAAACAGATGGAAAGTTCATCCCTCATGCCCACAATTTTTAATCCGTCCCAAATCGGGCGGAAAGTTGAAGGAAACCTGAACAAAATGATTGCAATTGTTTTATTTACTTTTCTATCCTCCTTAAAGTGATGGCATGAGGAAAAAATGCAGTGGGGTCCACATTATTTTATTGGCTGAAAAGGTAAGCAAAACATAAGGTGGGACTCACATGCACCTTTTGTCTTTTTAATTTATGACAAATAAAAGGGTATTTATGGAATTTGATAAATTATATTTTTCTTTAAATTTTTTCTTCATACGAAACAAAATAATAAAAAATAATTTTATCTACTTTTCCATCCCTCCTACCAAACAAGGAAGAAGAAAAATATTTTTCTCTTCTCAAAGGATGGAAAAAATATCCACCCACCTTTTCCATTTCCTTCCCTCCTGCCAAACATACCATAAAATTTCTATTTTATGGTTTGTTGACACAAAGAAGTGTGTCAAATTGTCAACACAAATGTGGGGTGTCTGACATGGTGATCCAAAAAAAAAAAAAAAGAAGATATGTTGACATGATCCTGCACATACAACATATATATTTTTATGTATCTTTTTGGTGTTTTTCAGTTTTTATCTTGAAAAGATCCATTGTAAAAGGGAAAGTTTGATACCAAATATAAAATGTGGGGCCTAAATAGTAATTCAAAAAGGTAATGATTATTAAAAATTATAGTGCACTTAAAATTCTAGAGCTTTACTTAAAATTCTAGAGGCTCCATTTAAAGATGGACTATAAAGATTTCTTGGTTTGAAGAGGCAATCCACATCCTAGGTTTTTTAGCAAAGGATCTTGATGAAACCTTGATAAAGTTTAAAGAAGATCAAAGAGCCCAAAGATCTAGGGTTAGGATTTGAAATTGATGATTCCGACGAATTGAGGCTTGACGCCCCACCCCCAATTCTACTTATAGAAGAGGTTTTGTATTCTCTTACTCTTGAAACTAGTTTTGCACTTGACATGATCATTCCAATCTAAATGCATATCCTCATATGAATGTCTATGTCAATGCGAGATCTTTTGCAGTTGAGCCACTTACATGAATTGTACTTTTCATGCCTTGTTAATAATGGTGTTTTGTATTTTGTTGGATAAATTGCATTGACACTGGAAAACGATATTCACCTAGTTGCCATGTCTGGGGGCTTTAGGGAGGTTGTGTTTTTTATTTTCAGGGTGGGGTGGGGGGAGTGCTAGTTTGGAGATGACTGTCAACTGTAGTTGGGGATGAGGTCATATCGACTGTAGTGCCACCCCAGACTTATTTAAACATCTAGTTGGCTAACTTGCATAACTAGCAGATTGAGAGGAAGAGATTAGAGACACATATCGATGCCACAAATATATACCCATTGTGTCTTACAAACAGGGGCAGGGGGTGTACCTTATTCAAAAGAACCACAAGAGGATCCTTTCTTCCTCTTCGCCTGCTCCCCTCCTCTTCCTGCTACATTCCTACTTGATTTTCAAAGTGGCGCAAATAATCAAGATGCAATGTCACAAAGGTTTATCTAATTTTATTTTGTCTCTCGAGGCTTTAGAGATTACACTAACTGTCAAGTCTATCAACCTTTGGTCATGGTCAATGTGGACTTTGCTTTGGTTAGCATTATTTTAATGTTTGTGGAATGAAAGAAATAGGAGGATGTTTCAATATGGTTTAAAGTATCTGTCGATATACGACTTGACACCTTCCGTTCCAATACTATTTCTTGTTCGGCTAAACCATGAGTATCACACGATTCCACTGAGTCATCCAAGACGTCTTCAAGTCAACGCTGAGTCGTCCAAATCATCATCATCAAAATAACTAATACTATTCTGTGATGCTGCAAGATGACTTAAAATATCTTGTCATCTTCAACTTCTGCTAGCTATTTAGCATGTCATGTGTAATGTCGAATATTGTTCCGCCATGGCACGACCGATGTGTTCAGTGCCATTTGAATTGGTGACCAAATGCCACCACCTTGAACTGTGTTTGAGGGTATGGTGTTGTCAATAGATCGATTAGATCAAAGAACTCAGGGCATGTTCCTAATTTTTGGATGAAATGGGTCTACCCTTCGGATTTGCCCATTTGTTGACTTTTTTGAGGAGATGGGACCATCTTAGATCGCATATTCTCTTCCACTGTAATGAGGAGCGCTTCCTTAGGGTCTATTAATGAAGTTTTGCTTTAATATGTAAACATAGTCAATGTGCCAACGAAAAAAAAGCCATAAAGAATATTTATTTTCAAACCAAAAAACATAAGTAAGAAAATTATTTTAGTTCTTTGCACGCTCTAGTTGGAAGTTGTTTGGAAGAGTCAGTGTTATTTAAGGCGTAAAGCGAACCGAAGCGACCAAGGCTCCTAACGCCTAGGCGAGAAGCGAGAAGCGAAGCGACACGCTTTACCGAAGCAAAGCGAACAGTTAAAAAAATATATATTTTAGTTTAATTACTTCTAAACAATCTAAGTTCTAATTTTATATATACTAAATATTTAAATGCAAGTAAAACCATAAACATTTAAATTAAAAAAAACACTAATAATATCTCAAATCTAAATAACAGTCATAACTTAAACATTTAAATTCAAACAAATACTAACAATTGTATACATTTTCATATTGACAGGGTAGGACAACAAAAGAAGCAGAATCAGGACAACAGCAGAATTAGCAACAAAAAAAAAAAGAAGCAGAATGACAATTAAAAAAAACAAAAGCAACACAGGACAGCAAAATCGAAGCAACAACAGAATCAACAAAAAAAAATAGAAGCAGAATGAGCTAAAAAAAAACAGAAGCACAATGATCATGACAGGAGCAGAATCAATTGTAAACAATTTCATATGTAATTATATACTGAATAAAAAAAAGCAGAACAGAGGCACATTTCACATGTACTAAAATAATTAAACATGGTATAAGCATAGACCACTTTTTGGTACCATTTGTATATATATAAGAAAAAGGGTAAAGTATAACCAAGACATATCAGAGACACTTCTTTGTAGAAGAATTTATTATTTACCCCCATTTCTGATACTCCTGCTTTATTTTTTTTATCATAATTGTCATGCAGTGTAGTCGCCTGACTCCCACATCCCACAAATATTCTAAATGAATTCAGCAACACAAGAAAAAAAAAAAGAATGTGTTTTGTTCGAAACATTGTTTATTAGAAAAAAAAAAAAAAATAGATCAGCAATAGTCTAAAAAAAAAGTCATTAGTGATTAAAAAATAAAAGAAACTACTAACCTGTAATCAGAAAAAAAAAAAGAAAAAAGTGAAGCAGAATCGCTTTTTATAATAAAGCGTTCGCTTTTTCGCTTTTTCGCTTTTTCGCGCTTTTTTCTCGCTTCGCTCACGTTCGCTTCGCCTGGGGTCCTCCAGGCAAGATAAGCTCGCCTCGCCTCGCTTCTCGCCTAGGCGAGCTTTTCAAAACACTGGGAAGAGTAGGCAATGTTCTCCTGTAGATAAAATGGTTATGGTATTTTTTCGACTATATATAAAAAGTTTGATTGTAGAGAACTGTAAAGAAAGAGATAAAGTCATGAATAGAGAGAAAATCATGATAACATTGTAGATCTTTGTCAAGGGTTTCAAAAAGGATGAAGAGCTGTGGGTTATCTGCCCATGCCTCTCATGAGTAAAACTGCACTTCCATTTTTCAGATTTGATTGGGAGTATTCCCAGTATTCAAGGTTTTCGGCTTGCTGTGAGGCTAATAATATTTTTTTTTCCAGGCGTACACCTATGATGATCTGTGTTCGTGAGTCTCATGTTGAGAAGATGGGAAAAGTTCAAGATGTTTCTTATGAGATTTTGAATGTCCTTGAGTTCAATAGGTGGTTTCACTTTCTGTTTTGTATTGGCACTTACACTTTCATGCTTGATCACACTAGATTTGATTGTAATTTTTTAACGTATTTAGTACAAGGAAGCGCCAGTCTGTTGTATGTCGTTATCCAGATGGGAGGCTTGTACTATACTGCAAGGTAATAGTTTCATGAGGCTACTTCTGTGAATTGAACATGCCATTGAGAATTAAAAAAAAGCAATGTACAGAACCTCTCTTTCACAGGGTGCTGATACCGTTATCTATGAAAGATTGGCTGATGGACAAAAAGATTTAAAGAGAACAACCAGGGAGCACTTGGAACATTTTGGAGCTGCTGGACTGCGTACCCTTTGCCTAGCTTATAGAGATTTAAGTTCTGATATGTATGACAATTGGAATGAGAGGTTTATTCAGGCAAAATCTTCTTTGCGGGATCGTGAGAAAAAATTGGATGAGGTATGTGTTGGTTTGATGATTCCTATCTGATTAGATTTCTATATATTTCTTCTGTTTTGGATGTATGTTAAGCATTGAGATAACAGAAACAGCTTTTGTTGCTTTAACATTGCTGCAGTTCTGGTTCGTTTAATTTGCAATCATAGCTTCCAAATTATTTCATTGTTATTTTAGGACTTTCTCTCATAGGAGCTGCTATTTGTGCCAAACTAATTCTAATTTTAGCTTATGACTGGAGTCTGAACTGGAGGAGTGGTTTTAGTTCTGTTGCCAAATGCAATTGTGGACATTAATTTGTGTATTTTACTATAAACGTTCCTTGCATTATCTATGCTCTAGATCACTGAATACTTTTTTGGTTATATTTTGTTTTCTCTCCCCCCCCCTTCTCTCTCTCTATCTCTTCCCATGGAGCCTTGTGTCTAGGGTTTTATTTCTAATTCAGTGAAAGAACGACCCATGTGGGAGTATTTTAAATGGCAGCATAGTGGGGAGTTTCTGAGAAACACCTTGTCAGAATATTTGCTTTTAAATTGATGCAGAATTTCTGAGATTTGATGCTCTTGATTTTGGCATTGCCTATGTGATTTATCTTAGGTTCAACTAGGTTTTCGTTGTAATGGTATTTAACATACAACCTTAATCTTGGGACTTCTTCCCCCTTGGATTGGGAAGCTAGTTAACTACTTCCTTAATATACACCATAGCTATTGTCATGAATCTGTGAGGAATGTCAGCTTCCTATATCAGTTCACAGCTTGTGAGTTCAGCTGCTTCTATATCTATGGTTGTGTGGTGGTGTCTGTTTCAGTTACAATTGAAATGCAGATTGAAATGGCGTACTTATAAACATGTGACTCTTTGCAGGTGGCAGAACTCATTGAAAAAGATCTTATTTTGATAGGATGCACAGCTATAGAAGACAAGCTTCAAGAAGGAGTACCATCTTGTATAGAGACTCTTTCTAGGGCTGGAATCAAGATTTGGGTTCTAACTGGAGACAAGATGGAAACAGCAATAAATATAGCTTACGGTTAGGGTTTATAAGCTAGTGCTTGCATTTAGTTATTTGTTGCTTTATCTCCATATTTCTATCTGCACCTTCTTTAATCTGTTTCCGTGTTGTACATGCTACAGCTTGCAAGTTGATTAATAATGACATGAAACAGTTCATCATTTCTTCAGAAACTGATGCAATTAGAGAAGTGGAAGACAGAGTAAGTTGCCTTTCCTGCGTGGTATACTTTTGGATGTATATCAGTATATATCATTATTTGACGGTGACTATGAATTCTATTTCAGGGTGATCAAGTAGAAATTGCACGCATCATCAAAGATGCAGTAAAGAATGAGCTGAAAAAGTGCTATGAGGATGCACAACACTATATTTGTTCGGCAGCTAGACCCAAATTAGCACTTGTGATTGATGGAAAGTGTTTGATGTATGCACTGGATCCAATTTTACGAGTAACACTGCTAAATTTGAGCTTGAATTGCAGTGCGGTAGTTTGCTGTAGAGTTTCTCCTTTACAAAAAGCACAAGTAAGCTTCCTTGGCATCGCTCGATGTATATGTTTAATTTCCTTTTCTTTGATTGGAAGTGATAAGAACCGATAATCATCACTCTCCCAGCTTCCCTAATTGTTCCCATGCCTGCATTTCACATGTTGCTACAATAGCTAGGCCCGTTAGGGTTTGAGAGTAACTTTCTTCTTAACAGAGGTGATGTCAGTTTTGTAACAAGCTTTGAAGGAAGCTTTATGTGTTTCGTGCCATGTTTCTTATGGGGTTGTTGCAACTTGGGCGGTCAACCTATGTTCAACCCGACCCGAGGTACAGAAACTTCAGCAGTAACCCAACCCGAGCCCAACTTCTAACCCAAGGTACTCCTCCACTCGAGTACTGCCCAAGTTACTTTCTTCAAGCTTGGGTTGAATTTGGGTTAGTCAATTCGGTCTGTTTCGGGTTGGCTAATTTGGGTTGAATTCGGCCCATTTCTTTTTGTTGTAAACTAGACCTCATACATACTATTATTCCCCTGATTCAAAGTAACAACCAGGACTTCAATAAAACAACCAAATACATTAAAGCCACAAAAACAAAAACAAAAACAAAAGCAAAAACAACCTTCAAACAACAACAAACACAAACAAATACACCATAAAAACAAACCAAAATCATAGTAAATTGTCTTCCATATCCTCCAGTAACTTCTCAATCTTTAACATAAAGACAGAATAGCCAAATTACACTTTTCTTAATACAACAATAATACATTGTCTACCATAAATACAACCACAACACAAGAAAGTAAAACCAAAACACAAGAACCGCAACCACTGTCGAAATGATAAGGCTGCAAGATCCTCAACCTGGAGCAAAAAATATAAAATGAAAAGAATAAGATGAAGCAATCAATGAAGCAAAATGTAAACTTTAGTCTCATTTTCACTTATCAAAGGACTAAGATGACGCAATAAATGAGTAGATGAAGGGAATACTACCTGCTCAAAATCCTTTTTTAAATGTGAAGCAAAACAAATGAATCTGCAACACTCGAGCTTGCACCATTATCCATGAACAATACAAAATAGAGAAGGGCAAGAGCTTTAAGAAAGACAAATAGATCATAGAAATAGAATATGTTACCAAAATACATTTCTCCATGTCTTCCATATCATTTAGCTTTTCTGTTATTTCAACTAGGGATGAATCGCTTCTTAACCCATCTTGGGCACAAATCAAACTCTCAACTGTCTTTGGAGTTAAAAGAACTACAAAATGGATTATGTACACGACCTCCCATGCTAAAAGCAGACTTTGAAGCCGTAGTTGATTTAGGAATTGCTAAAATATCACGTGCCATGTGAGAAAGCACACGATATGAAGAGGTTTTTTCTTTCCACCATTTCAAAATATCGAAATTTTGTCTTGATTCTTTTCCAAACTAAACGGCATCTTCGAAGTAACATTTTAAATTCGAGTTAATGTCTTTGGTTTGCTCCATTTCTAATAACTTACCCCAATCTATTGCATCATCATCAAGCACAACATTTGGACCATCCGAAATATCTTTTCTAACATTAATGTCTTCTTTTGATGCATCACCATTTTTTAATGAAGCCAATTCCACTTATGAGTAGTATTGGTATAACTTAACCAACACAACTTGCACTTATAAATCAACTCATCAACCTCATCATGAGTATAAATTTTAGCAATTTTATATCTCAAAAACGTCAACTTATAATAAGGATCCAACACTACTGTAATGAGTAACAATGAATTAATTTTGTCACAATCACAATATTTCTTAAACTTCAACATAATTTTCTTGACATCTCAAAAAAGAATATATTGTCACTACTCAATGATTTATGTAATAAAACATGGATCCTCATTATTTCATGAAAATAAATGTTAGCAATGACATATTGTGACCCCGACACGTGTGTTGTGAGAAGATAAAATTGTTCCAAAAATTTATGCTAGTTCTTTGCTGCCAACCAACCATCATTAGTAAGAGTCTCATTCTTATGTTCAAGTGTGAAACTCCTATCTTGCTCCTCCAATCGGTCAAAAGCTTTTTGGTATTCAAGAACGGTGTCTAGCATATAAAGAGTAGAGTTCCACCATGTTGGCACATCCAAACACAGATTTTTTGTATGGAATCTTTTCAATATCCACACTTCTTAAACATTTGATGGCGGGAAGGGAAACTCCTAACATATTTCACACCATCACGAATGCGAATAACAACACTATTAACTTAATCAATTCCATCTTTTACAATGAAATTCAAAACATGCTTAAAACACCTAACATGAAGCAAACTACCATCTAACAACAACTCATTGCGCTTGGTCAACCTCTTTTTAAAAAATATGGCTGCGACATCATTGGAACTTGCATTATATATGGTCAATGTATTCAATCCTCCATCCCAATAAACAAGTCTCCACAACTTGTGCAATAATTTTATCACGATGTGAGGTTGGAAGCACACGGAAGTTGATTATCTTTTGTAAATTCCACTCTTTGTCAATGTTATGCTCGGTGAGACACATATAACCAAGGTTTTGAATGGAAGTCACAAATCAGTGGTGAGACAAACACGTGAAGCAGAGGATTCAAAGACTAATTTCAATTTGTTCCTTTCAATTTCATAAATATTGATGCAATCTTTGGTGATTGTGGTTCTTGACACCAAACTAAGCCTTGGTTGCAATACATTAACAAGCCTTTTAAAACCACCTTTCTCTACTACACTAAAAGGCATATCGTCAATAATTATCATGCGAGCAATCTCTTTCCGGTCAGTTTCTTGGTCAAATTTTTAGTTAATAATACTAGCTTGATGACCAGTTGTAGCTGAAAATTAATCATTGTTTGACTAGGGTCTTTATTGTTTTCACATTTTGGACATTGCATAAGTGTCGTTGAAGTGGACTAGTTCCTTGAGCACTAGAATAATGAAACGAATTTTTGCAATGATAACATTCTACCTGCTCAGGATTTCCCCCCTCTTCTTTTTTAATTTTTGTGAAATCTTGTCAAACAGAAGATTTTTCAGTATTGATTTTTCGGCGTTTGGGGCTTTCTGAGATCGCCTCATTATAGTTATTAGCACCAGGCTCAGACGCAAGCTTAGTCGCAAATTCTCCATTTGGCTCCCCCATCTGTGACATTTATTGTGCTGAAAAAGGAATTGAATATTATTAAATTTCCCCTTCCTAAACCACTGATTCTCAATTTGTCTCCATTGAAAACAAAGCCAGAGGGGACAATTGAAAACACATATTCTTCATATCCCACCCCAAATTACACATTCTCTATTTGTTTTTATTGAAAACAAAGCCCGATTTTTCAATATTCCCACTCAAACCACAGGCTTAGACGCAACTTCAATCTCTGTCACAGAAAACGCAGGAACAAAATAAACAATGATGAAAAGAAAGGCAGGAGAGAGTAGAGATCATACCTTACCTGAAGCGATGTCTATAAGGTGGAGAGAGGCGCACTAGTCCAAAAATCGCAAGGCAGAGACTTAGACAGTGAGAGAGGCGATAAGAGTGATTAGATTCGAGTGAGAGATGGCGGAGAAAGGTGTTGAGAGTAAGAGACTAAAAGAGGTATTAAGAGTGAGAGACTGACAGACGTAGAGTGGACTGTGGAGAGGTGATCAGATCCAATGACAGAGGGAGCGAGAGACTGAAAGAGTGAGTGAGGCAGAGGTGCATAGAGGTAGATGTATCTCTGATTGAGTGAGGGTGAGAGGGTCGATTAGAGTGAGAGGGTCGAATCAGTTGAAGAGGGTGATTGAGTGAGAGAGGCTATGAGAGTGAGGAACGCAGTGGCGAAGACAAAGGCGGAACCCTAGTTGTGCTTATATCTATCGGGTTGAGCTCAATTTCCTTAATTTGGGTTGAACATGGTAACACTAGTACTTCCCGAATTCAATTCGGGTTGGAATTTTTTGACCTAGGTCTAACCCAAGTATTAAAAACCTCAACCCAAGCCCTTGTCTTTGAAGTATGTTTACCAGGATGCTTTTAGGTTCTCCCAGACACAGAGGTATTCCCTGGCAGAAACTGAGTTCATTGAGGCAGTGCAGAGTTTTGTACTTTGCAGTCTAGAAGTCTTAGTCTATCCCCCGATTGCAGTGCTATTCTGTTCATGTAATTCTATGAGAAGAAAGGTCTTCAATCTGTCAAATACTAATACTAGACCATATGGCTTGTTGTCACAATGGTGTATTCCATTTCTCAGAGCACTATAGATGATTGATAAATTAGGGCATTCAAATGAAGTTTGCAATTTCCTCTCTCTCTCTCTCTCTCTCTCTCTCTCTCTCTCACGACCTATGTCGCCAAACCATGCCAGGGCTTATATCTTTTCACCTATCAAATGAAGAAAAAAAAACTCATTAGAACTTAGGTTGCTGAGTATCTGAAAGGCTACAACTACTGGTCCAAAAAGTATGGAATAGACTGTTTTGGTGGATTGGAATGAGCCACAAGCCAAGTGCTGTTTGATTTTGCAGAAACAGATTAAAAGTTGGTCCGAATGTATTTTCTTCTTGATAGACTTTGTGAGGATGAATTTGAACAGTCATTCTATGTTCTTACTTTACACATTTGAATCTAGACTCGCCTTACGTTCTTCATATACAGTGGTTTGAGGTTCCCAACAAACAGCTAATTAGTTTTAAAAGGGCAATATGGTTTGGTTGACATAATCCTTTGCTAGTAGCCTAGTGCATAGTTTGTTTGAACTTTGGAAATTTTATTGCTGTTTGCAGGTGACAAGTCTGGTCAGGAAGGGTGCAAGGAGAATAACTCTTAGTATTGGTGATGGTGCCAACGACGTTAGCATGATTCAAGCTGCTCATGTTGGTGTTGGAATAAGTGGGCAGGAAGGAATGCAAGCTGTGATGGCTAGTGATTTTTCAATCGCTCAGTTCCGTTTTCTTACAGACTTACTTCTTGTGCATGGACGATGGTCATATCATAGAATATGCAAGGTTTAACTTCTGTCTTTCCGAATCCTCCAAAATATTTATTATTGTTTTTCCACAAAATTTTACATGCTTCAAATTCTTTTGTGCAGGTTGTGACATACTTCTTTTACAAAAATCTGACATTTACTTTGACTCAATTCTGGTTCACCTTCCAAACTGGGTTTTCTGGTCAAAGATTTTATGACGATTGGTTTCAGTCTCTGTATAATGTTATTTTCACAGCCCTGCCTGTCATTGTTTTTGGACTTTTCGACAAGGTATTATACTTTCTATTCATTGATGTTCTACAATGTTTACAGATGCCAATGTCATTAATTCTGATCAATGTTTCTATTGTGCAAAGGTGTTTGTAGTCTCCATGATGGTATTCTGTTGCTTTGATTGTGTTGATGATAGAGATATATCTCAATCTTCAACAGAATGCATTTTATATGGATGTCATTAACCACTTGGATGGTTCAAACACATTTTTTGCCAGGATGTCAGTGCTTCCCTTTCCAGGAAATACCCCGAATTATACAAGGAAGGAATTAGAAATACCTTCTTCAAATGGAGAGTTGTGGGGATCTGGGCTTTCTTTGCGATTTACCAATCACTAGTCTTGCATTATTTTGTGCTTGCTCCTACTTCAAGTGGCATAAATTCATCTGGCAAGATGTTTGGCCTGTGGGATGTCAGCACTATGGCCTTCACTTGTATCGTAGTAACTGTCAACTTGCGTCTACTTATGATGTGCAATACAATCACAAGGTGGCATTATATTAGTGTTGGAGGAAGCATATTAGCATGGTTTATATTCGTCTTTATTTACTCAGGTGTTGCCTTGCCAAAAGCTCAGGTGAGTTCCTAAATATCTAGATTCTTCCTTATTGAAGCAGTCTATGTGCTAACTAGCCCAATGGTTACATTTACTGCAGGAGAACATTTATTTCGTCATTTATGTCTTGATGAGTACAGTTTGTTTCTACCTCACCCTTCTTCTTGTTCCTATTGCTGCGCTTCTATGCGACTTCGTTTATCAAGGGTAAGATTTAGGAAATAACTTTCTTAAGGTATATATTCTTGAAGCACGGGCAAACTTGTCTGTTTATGATGTTGTTGATTGACTTGGTTTGTGGCTTGTATCTGTGGTCTGCCGAGAACAAATGGTTTTGTTCCTTTGCTCTTGCTGAAATATATTTGATTCGAGTAACCACTGTTGTTGCATTGTTGGTTTATTTTCTTTGTTTACTAGGTATTTATATTTTTGGTTGCCAAATTATTGGGCCGTTTTGTGGCTGCTACACTTGTTCAGGTTTAGAATTCCTGATTCATGAATGTCATGCCTTGTTCATGCATCCCATGCATCAAGACTACATTTTTTAGTAAAATAATATATTTTTGCTGGTCTTATTGTTAGGTATACTATTTATTGTGTGGAACTACTTGCCCAGGTGCATGTTCCCCTCTTACTAGGCATAAATCAAACTTAGATGCAGGGGAAAAATGTTGTAGGAACTATGTAACTTGAAATATGGCACCCTTCATGTATACTCAACTTCATATGCACCGGTAGTTAGATTGAGGAGTATGATGATGCAGCAGGCCTGTCATATTTCTGTTGTGAACAATTGCAAAATTCTCCATTGTGGCTCTACTGTGTCTACCTGAACTAGGAGCAGCATTTGGTGACACGCATATTGAGTGGCCTACATGATGATCACTTGTATTTTGCTGTGGCAGATATTGCTGAAAGCGTACTTCTGTTCTAAGTCACTCTCTCCTCAAACCTAACACGATATTTGCTTGATAAAATTCATTGTTGTTCTTGCTATACTTTGATGCATCAGTCAACAATCTGTTGTGGTATCATCATAAACTACTGTCGTCCAATTTCAGGGTTCAGAGATGGTTCTTCCCCTATGATTATCAGATTATCCAGGAAATTCACAGGCACGAGCCAGATAATAGCAGGGTTGGATTGCTGGAGATTGGTAATGAGCTTTCACAAGATGAGGCAAGGAGCTTTGCCATAGCACAACTCCCCGGACAGAAATCGAAGCACACTGGATTTGCATTTGACTCACCCGGTTATGAGTCCTTTTTTGCTTCACAAGCAGGAGTGTTTGTCCCTCAAAGGGCATGGGATGTGGCTCGGAGAGCCAGCATGAAGTCACGGGCAAAGACACCTCGAAAGAACTAAATCATCCGAAACGTTTTTGTACAGGATTCTTTTTTCTATTTTTCTCTGACAGTTAGAAATTAGAAGAATATGTAAAATTAGATGTGTCATATCCCACATAGTAGTTTCAATTCATTCTTACATGTTTTCTTTCTTTTTTTTTTTTTTTGGGGTTTTCCAACTTCCATATCTATCAAAGAAATCATAGCGGTTACTAGGATTTTCAGAGTCATACTGCATTACCCGGGAAACAAACATAGCATTCTTTCATTATGTATATTGTTTTGGTTTCGGCCCCAATTTATACACTGGAGAGAGTTTCACTAGATCATTGCTGTGATTACCGCTGATGGTGTTCCTGTATTTCGCTTGCCTGCTTTTTCGGGTTCAGGTTGATGTTAAGCATTGTATTTCTGATCAAATTTGACATCGGCGTCTTTCGGTGTTTGATTTGCTGAACCTTTTGAGTACTCTGTGCCCCCGTATTGTTTGTTTGTTTGCAAGTTATTGCTACTTTACAGGGTGGGTTATTGTTTGAACAGTTAAGTGTGGGGAGTCTGTGTCTGCGATTACCGGTATGATGAGTTACGTTTTTCTTGAGGATAAAAACCCCTCCTAATATTCTTTTTCTCCAATAGATAAGAGTAAATGTCATTTAAACTTGATTTGTTAATTTAATTTATTTATATTGATTTATTATCATTTGGTCTTATCAAGTTAGTCCAACAGTATTCTTGATAATCTGTTAGTAGAGAAGTGAGATATGACCCTCGAACCCGCATTGATATGGACTCCCACACACTAAATAACAGGGTGTAATTCAAGCAAACCTTTACATAGAAAAGTGGCTGTCAAGCAGGAAGCATGGCATTGTTTTGGTTCCAACTCTGGTAGACAAAAAATGCAATGGCTGCAAGTTGTTTCTAGTTACAACAGTAGCAGCTTGGAAGTTTCAGTGCTCAAGCACAAGTATGCCACCAAGATTCATTAAAAGTTACACAATAGTGGAATTAGATTTAGCATCAGTAAAGGGAGAAGATTTGTATGTGCAGTACTTATGTTTTTTCTTGAGTAAGACTCTTGTGCTAAAAGTGTCGTACCAAACGTTATTACTAAATAAAAATGAGTTTATTTCTCAATCTGGTGAGATTATCACAGATGGATTTGTTTTGGAACAATCTTAACATTTTAATATTGATTCTATTTTCTTAATCGTAATTTAACCCCATAGAATTGCAATTGGCCCTTCTGAGTCGTAGCTTAAACTTGAATTATCATAACTATTTATTTCCTTGTTAAACTTTAATAAGGTGCCAAAAATTGTACATTGTCTTGCCTTTCTTTCTTCTAAGGGGAAATCTACTATTTTTTTTGGGCTACTGAATTGCCAGTATAAATTTTGTGAAATTTTTTATAATTTTTTGGGGTCATATTATAATTGTTGGGGTAATTTGCAATCGATCAGAACATGTTATGTTAGAATCGATCACAATATTTTTGGAATTGATCGCAAGTCATCATAAAAGTTATAACTTGATCAAAAAAAGTTATAATTCAAATTTTAACAGTTGTAACTTGACCCACAAAATTATAATTTTTTTTTTGTTCTAAACAAACTCCAAATCTTGTACTTAAAACCTAAAAAATTGTAAAATTTTGAACTAATTTTTTTTTTTTTGGGGTTCAGTAGCCTTGTCCTACCAAATGTTCCACAAAGCACATGCTATAGTGATCACTATAGCATTTAGACCAGCAGTTAGGTAATTACCCTATAAGGAGCCATAATCAAATCTCCACGTCTTTAGCACAATGAAGTGGAACATGTTCTACGGCTTTTATTGTCAGCTATTATGCAATCTAGCACAAGTTGAGAACATTTTTTTTTTCTTTTGATGGGTAAATTGGAAATATATTGATTAAATCGGTTCAAGATATACTCCATCACTACGCTATATATTCTAATAATAAAAAAATATTCTAATAATAAAGATGTGTCGACATAAACAAAGTCTACTAGTTTCAATATATGCTCTCATAATGCGAGAGATTTGGTGAAATGGAAATTCCTCCCTCGTCACGAGACGCAAATTTTTACGCCAAAAAATTGTTCAAATCCACAGAGCATGTAGCATAGAGCTTCCCTCACATTCTGAGAGGCTAGATATCAATAGTAGAAGCCCCTGAGAAGGTTTCTCCTTGCAGTTCCTAACTTGCTCATTCTTCCTGCCGAATATCCAACTCCAATACAACCAAGCAGCTCTATGATCGCTTACGTCTATCCATCAGCTTCTTTTAACCTCGTATTATTCAATGACTCGAGTCCGAGGTATGATTATTTGCTTTAGAGAATCTGATAAAGCTTGTTAATTTCCCCGATACAGATTGTTGACTTTCATCCAAATTATCTTCATCTCCATCAAAGTCATCATCATTTTCGAAAACCAAATGAGTCCCAAACTTCTTGAGCTCAACCCCCTTAACATATGGAGGGTCCCTCATTGCTACCCTTATCCTGTCACCATCTTTCAACATCAAAATCAAGTGATGATCATCTTCATATCGACACAAATAAACTTGATCTTCATGTGTCTTTGGAACTGTTGCTATGCGCATCGCCATACTGAAGACTGGTTCATTCAATCTGAGGATTGTCACAAGAATATCTGGTATGAGAGGAAGTTGATCTCTCCAACCATCCGATATTTGATGGTTGACAGACACAACAACGCCTATAATCACACCTTTAATCGCATAGTTTTTGCGTGTTGAAAAAGAAACCACTCCTTGAGTAAACCAGTGAGGTATTTCACTTCCAGGAATGCTTAACTCGTACAAATTCTTTACAGCAGCCTGTGATCAGAAGCACCCAAAATTAAGGAAAACTTTCTGACAAAACTACTAAAACACAGACAGGTGAGAGATGCACAAGTCGTGAAGAAGAGACCTAACTGTTGACAATGCAATCAATACAGTGAGCTTGACTCTTGAGGATTGCATATTCAAAGGTACTTGGATTTAAACTGCATCTTCTAGTCAGATTAAAAGCGCAAATTATTATTTGGCACGTACTATTCAATGACAAGGATCAAGGCATATCAACAACCATCCAAACCTATGACTACACACACATGGACAAGTTCTTTTCGTTGTACATTGGCATATCACTATCTCGATGAGCAAGTATTACAGCAAAGAAAAATACCTATAGCAGAGGAGAAAATACCCACAAAAAAAAAAAAAAAAAAAGCCCAAAAGAGGGGCACAATAACAATAGAATCCCAAAGAGGAAGACATAAGAATTCAATCTTTGGCAAGGATTGACTTTTTTGCCTCCTGGTCAAGAGAATCATGGGAGGCCAATTAGAACAAGGCCTAGATGGTCACCTAGGAGGTACGGACATAGCCATAAGTACCTTATCTAATACGATATAAATATGAAGATACGATAAAGTTCCAAAACATAGGATACAGATATGACAAGAATATGACTAATTAAAAAAATTATTATATATTTTTATATAAATAATATTAATAATAAGACCTAAAAATAATTAAGTAGTAGGCTAATATCTTCTAACAATTACGTAATAAGCCAATATGTTAGAATTTGACAGTGGGTTTAACATGAAAGTGGACTGTGGGTTAATTTTATTTAATAACTAATAAATAAATTATACAATATTAATAAAAACACTACGCTTCTTAGAAGAAGCCGGGCACGTGTGTGAAAGAGAGAAGAAAAAAATAGTCCAGCATCTACCAAGAAGCAGCCAAAGAGAGGAAGAAGAAGAAGGCAAGAAGCAGAGGCTCTTCGTCTTCGCTAGTTCGCCTGGAGCAGTTCGATGTTGGCGCTAGAACGAGTGGCCCCAGTTAAACGACCTTTCTTCTTCTTTTTCAGCCCTTAAAGTTTTCAAAATTAACAAATCTTACCCCGCCGTATCACCCCCACCGTATCCTCACGTATCCCCGTATCCGGCTACAAAAAATTCTTGTTTACTGTTCACGACACTTGTAGAAGTGTCGCACATACCTGGCCGTGTCTCACTCTTATCCGTGTGTCCAGCATCGCCACGGCGACCCTACGCGAGTATCCGTGCTTCCTAGATGGTTACAAATATTTACACTAGTCCGGGCATGCGTGTGTGCACAAGGGCATGCACACAAAGAATGGGGGGGGGGGGGGGGAGGGAGAGAGAGAGAGTACTTTATCAAGTTTTTCCTTGACCACTGAAGAGCATGAATGGCAACAAACCATGTGCAAGATTCTCAAGGACTTCAAGCATTCCAGGCCCGCAATGTCCGCCAAGTTCTCACAGTTCGCAAGGTGCAGCTCCCGTAAGTTCTCCAAATCTGACAGGTTGGATATACGTTCCAGTGCTGCACAGTTTGCAGCATATACCTCCACCAAACTGGGAGGAAGCGGAGGAATAACTTTGAGCTGTTTGCAGTGGGACAGAACAAGCTTTTTGAGGACAGAGAGTCCTCTCAGACTTGATGGAAGCCTGGAAAAATCATTGTGACCAAGGTTCAAAATTTTTAAGGTTGACAACTTCTTAAAATCATCTGGTATATTACCAGATATTTTCCATGCACGAGCATCGAATTCTACTAACGAGGAAAGATTTGAAAAAGAAGACGGAAGCACAATGGGTTTAGATTTCTTTTCTGCACCAAGATCCTTTAGCTCTGTTGTTTCAGCATTTTGAGGCACTTCATTATAAGGATTCTTCGCCATTTCTAATATCATTAAGTTCGAAAGCATCCCAAAATTTTCAGGTAATTCTGTCACAGAAGTCTCCTCCATTAGCAAGTGGTGCAAAAATTTCAATTTCCCGAATGAGGCTGGCAGCTTGTAGAGTTGCTTACATCCGTTCAATCTTAACATCATGAGATTTTCCAACATCCCAATAGATTCTGGTAGTTCGGTTATGGCAGCATTCACTATGATCAATGTATTAAGAGCCAACAACTTCCCAATAGATTCCGGAAGTGATCTCAGTGATTTACAATTTCTCATCTCAAGCTTCTTAAGTGATTTCAAGGCACCAATCTGATCTGGAAGATCTATGATCGATGTCCTGTCTAACTGAAGCTCAACCATGGAATAAAGCCCTTCAATGGAAGCAGGCAATGTGCTCACATTATAACAACCTCCAACTAACAACTCCTTTAGATAACATATTGAACCGATAGAAGCTGGTATTTCTTTCACTGAACTACTATTAAGCCAAAGTTTTGTCAATGATTTCAGCTTGCCAACCGAATTAGGTAGTACAGTAAGTGATCTACACCACATCACATTTAGCGTCTCAAGCTTTCCCAACAGGCCGATGGTATCAGGTATTTCCTCCAATGCAGAATTGTTAACTGAAAGTTCTCTCAAAGAAGCCAGCTTACCTATGCGTATGGGTAGTCGTTTCAACGATCGACAAGATTTTAGACTGAGACTTTCAAGGTTTGTAAGCTGGAATATAGATTCAGGTAGCTTCTCTATAGCTGTTTCATCAAGGAAAAGTTCTCTTAAAGAACTCATGCTGCCTAGATCCTGTGGCAGGTATTTCAGCTTTGAGCAACCGGAGAGAATAAGGTTCTCAAGACTTTTTAGGCCAGAGACGTCACTTGGAAATTCAACAAGGCTGTAACATTCTCTCAGGTTCAATTGGCGTAACATATTCAGGTCCTGCCCAAGTGACTTATGAATCCTAGCCAGGTTACTGCAATGCTCAAGAGTTAGCTTTTCCAGGGCAGGATGCCCAGATAAATCAGGAATAGCAGTTATGTTACAACAACCTCGAAGATTCATAACCATCACTTTCTCTGCCACCTGAAAAACAGTGAACTTTTCAACTCTTAGATTGTTATTATAATAAAATTGAACAAGCTAATTGTTTCGGAAAATGTAAGCATCAAACCCAAGGAATTCAAGTCAGCTGTGTCACATATATTAAGTCAAGCATACCTTGTTCCTGAACCAGCACCACCATCTCCTGCCCCAAACTCTTTCTATCTTGCTTTCTGACAGATCGAGGACAGTTAGTTCCTTAGGACAAAAATCAGATGGAAGATTCTTCAAGGAACATTTCCGCCATTGTAGCCACTTCAATTCAGCAGGGAAAAGTCTAAAACTTCCTTTCATTTTCACATCACTCAATCGAAGCAGTCTTAGATTAACCATTGGCTCAAATGGTTTTGTGCAAAGTATCACTTCTCCCTCTTTTTTGGCAGCCTGTTGAAAATATTCCTTACATATCTCCTTCAAGTAAGCTAGTACAGAAGTTATATTGAATGATATTCTCAAATTGTTCCAAGCAATGGTTTTAGCACTGTCCGGAATGTTCTTTTTTTCTAAGTCAAGAATAATCCCTTGAATGTTGCTTGTCCCCTAATTTCAATCATGTCGATAAAGAATCAATAAACATAATAAAGACTTAAGCTGAAATTGTTCCCGGAAGATGAGAGCAAGCATTTGGAAAGTCAAAGCCGTTACAACAGTTTAGGGATGACACTACAAGACATATCACATATGCAGAACCACAAGAAAATATTGGGCGTAACGGTTACACCATGTCAACAATGTTACATGGTGAAACCATCCTATAGAAAGTGAACAAATTTGTAAGTGAGCTCCACAAAAATTCACAATTATTAAGTCATGTAATACATAACTACCTCCATGTAAGGAAGTGGAATCTATTTTATCCACTTTGTAGTTTTTCTATTAGATAGTTACACCACGTGATATTGCTGACGTTGTGTAACCGTTACACTCAATATTTTCTCGAAATATTGATGCGGGGAGGTCAATTGGCTACTTTTTTATTTTTGATTCTTAATTCTTGGCTTTCTTCCTTTGTCGACCCTAAATAATGGGGACATGGATTTTTGTTCAGTTTTCTTTACATATTTCTTCCAGTCTTTGATTATATACTCCCCAACAAATGTAATAATATATCAACAAAAACCAGAGTGGACCATTTCTCCTGTTACCTCTCCAAACTAATGAATTTTGAGACACATTATACATTTCTCTCTCTCTCTCTCTCTCTTTATATATATATATATATATAACCCTTTGGCAACTATTTTAGGGATCAAGCAAGGCGGAATGGAGAAGGGAGCTGTGTCTGACCACTTTGGCATCATATAAAATTTGCTGAATTTGTCCCCTTTCTTCCGGTTCAATTTCAAGTTCATTAGAGCTTGTTCCAAATTGGCAGTGTAAGGTCTCCTAAACTAATAGATGAATCTAGTTGATCTCTTCACTTACTGTTAGTTGGTTTTGAGTTGGATATTTCTACAAAATTAATGAATTTCTAACTGCGTTATTAGTCTTGCTCTCCTCAGCAAGAATGGAACACAAATAATACTAGCACATCTTAAGTCAACTCAACAAACCTTGAATCCTAACTCATCTCTGTCTGCCACATGAATATATCTCAACACACAGTTCTTCCAAAATCCATATCCACAACTATTAAGTGCTTTGCAACCAGGCCCGCTCTCATGGCTTATACTTTTTTTGTTCACTTTTTTCTCATCCTTGAACACCTTCAACTTACATCCAATTACCCATGCACAGAGAGGGGCATTCATTGGTTTACACTACACAAGATGAAAAA